CCCATGCCCTCGGTGGGCAGGGCCAGCGCTCTTAAATCAGCAGGAAGATGACACAGAAGACTGACCTCCTCCCTCATCTCCCGCAAGAAGAAGGGATGGAATGGCTGAGCACGGTGACTCACATCTGTAATCCCAGCACTTTGGGGAGGCCAAGGTGGGCAGATCGCCTGAGCTCAAGAGTTTGAGACCAGTCTGCACAACATGGCAGAACCCCATCTCTACCAAAAATACAAAAATCAGCCGGGCGTGGTAGCACACACCTGTGGTCCCAGACACTCAGGAAGCTGAAGTGGGAGGATCGCTGGAGCCTGGGAAGGGGAGGCTGCAGTGAGCCATGATTATGCCACTGCATCCCAGCCTGGGTGACAGAGTGAGACCCTGTCTCAAAAAAATAAAGAAAGAAAATAAATAAAAGAAGAAGGGATGGAAATCTCTGAGGGAGGAAATGAGATGGGAATAGCACTGGGTGGTCATAGGAGGATGGAAAAAACCCAAACAACAGCTAGAATAAGAACGAGGCAAAGAAACCACAGGTTAACAGAAAACCCAAAAATAAGGGAGAGAAAATGGTGAAATCCTGGTCAGGGTGATACGTCCATGATCCTGGGAAAACTCGAATAAGGGGAAAAGTCTGTGGTAGCAGGGGAGGGAGTCCCTGAAATCACTCCTTTTCCAGAATATCTTACGATTATTCCGCCCCCTAATTTAAAAACACCCATAAAATTAGAAACTCAAACTCTGATGTGAGTGACTCACTCTGCTGAGCACGTCCACAATTCTCTCTTCTGTGTGTGCTTTCGCTTTGCGATAAAAGCTGCTTGCCTTTTGTTTCATTCTGATGTGTCCCTGAATTCTTTCTCAAGCTGGTGTCAAGAACCTGGAAACTGGCTGGGGCTGGGGTCTCACTGGCATCCCGAGACCCTCCTGAAACCTCCGACAGCTGTAGGTGATTGAAGGCGCCAATCATAGGGGTCGGAGGGTGACGGAATGCACTTTAATTTTAATCTGAGTGTCATGGAAAATAGTTGGATGGTTTTATGCAGAGGAGTGACATGATCTGACTTCTAAGAAAGATCATTCTATTGCTGTAGGGAAGCAGGGAGGGGTCAATGTATTAACAGAAGGTGTTAGGGGTTGAGTTGTGTCTCCTCAAAATGTGTTAAATCCTAACCCCCAGAACCTGTGACTATAACCGTAGCTGGAAGTGAGGTCTTCATAGATTATTGAATTAAGATGAGATCATTAGGGTGGGCCCCACTCCAATATGACTGGTGTCCTTAAAGGCGAGGAAAACCCCATGTGAGGACAAGGGGACCATCATGTGATGACAGAGGCAGAGACTGGGGAGGATGCCAAGGGCATTCTACAGTAGAACTGAAACACTAGTTCAGGCCAAGATGAAAAGGGGGGTTGGATGTGCCTCATTTTACCCTCCTCCCTTTGGAATTCAGGCACAGTTGACCAGTATTAACGTTAAAACAGACACCTTAAGACTGACAAAGCAGACTTTTTGTAGCAACAAGATACCAACATGACAGATTGAAGGCCCTGAAAGAAATTGGAGTATTTTACCCCAAATATATTTATTTGGCATATTTGGAAATAGCCTTGCAAAGCTGTCTCTTGTGGGAAAAAACATCTACATTCTGTAGAGAATCCCCTTCCCTTTCCAGGTCTTTTTCTTGATCCAGGAGATAATTTACTAAGAGTCTGGCACCTTAATTTTGATAAGAAACATTTACAAAGGCCGCAGATCACTTGAGGTCAGGAGTTTGAGACCAGCAGATGAGGTCAGGAGTTTGAGACCAGCCTGGCCAACACAGTGAAACCCTGTCTCTACTAAAAATACAAAAATTAGCTGGGACTGGTGGTGCACGCCTGTAGTTCCAACTACTTGGGAGGCTGAGCGGGGAGGATTGCTTGAACCTGGGAGGCGGAGGTTGCAGTGAGCCAAAATTGTGCCATTGGACTCCAGCCTGGGCAAAAAAGTGAGATTCCATCTCAAATAACAACAACAAAAAGAAACATTTACAATCCATTCTCTTTGAAGCCGGCTACCTGGGGGCTTCATCTGCACAACCCCTTATCTTAACCCAGACACTTCTTTCTATTGATTCCATGTCATTAAGTAAACTTTCAACCAATTGCCAATCAGAAAATCTTTGAATCCACCTATGACTGAGTTGTCCCACCTTTCTGGGCTGAACCAATGTACTTCTTACATGTACTGATTGATGTCTTCTGTATCCCTACCATGTATAAAACCAAGCTGTAGCCCAACTACCTTGAGCACATGTTCTCAGGGTCTGCTGGGGCTATGTTACAGGCCATGGTCACTCATCTTTGGATCAGAATAAATCTCAAATATGTTAGAGTTTGACTCTTTTCATTGACACTCATGCAGCGGACTATTGCCATCATCCAGTCTACACACTGTTAAATGGAAAAACCTTAGACACGTTTATATTTTAACTGAGTATATTTGAGCACAACAAAGCAGATTTCTGAATGGGGCAGCCCTCCAAACCAGAGCACGCCAGAGAACTCCAACCAGGCACGTGATCTGACAGCACCTATAGGAAACAGAAGTGTGTGACAGAGACAGCTGATTTGATTATAGCTTCATTGCTTAACTTTGATTATAGCTTCATTGCTGGTTACAGAGTCCCCAGCCGTTAACTAAAGCTCAGTTACTGTAGTTAAACAACTTATTGGTTCGGTCTGGTAGGTGTAGTTCAGGGTTTCACTCTATTATCAGAAACGGGTTCCAATCCGGACCTCAAGAGTGTTCTTGGACCTTGTGCAAGAAAGAATTCTGGGCGAGTCCGTAAATTGAAAACACACTTATTAAGAAAGGGAAATAAAAGAATGGCTACTCCGTAGGCAAAGCAGTGGCACTGGCTGCTTGACTCAGTACACTTATGAGAGGTGAAGCCAGCTGGACTTCCTGGATCGAGTGGGGACTTGGAGAACTTTTCTGTCTTACGAGAGGATTGCAAAATGCACCAATCAGCACTCTGTAGCTAGGGTTGTAAAATGCACCAGTCAGTGCTCTGTAGCTAGCAAGAGGATTGTAAAATGCACCAATCAGCACTTTGTAAAATGCACCAATCAGCAGGATCCTAAAAGTAGCCAATTGCAGGAAGGATTGAAAAAAGGGCATTCTGATAGGGCAGAAATGGAACATGGGAGGAGACAAATAAGGGAATAAAAGCTGCCGCCCACCCTCCCCTTCCCCCTCCTCCACCACCAATCAGCAGCAGCAACCTGCTTGGGTCCCCTTCCATGCTGTGGAAGCTTTGTTTTTTTGCTGTTCATAATAAATCTTTTTTTTTAATTTTTGAGACAGAGTCTTGCTTTGCCCCCAAGCTGGAGTGCAGTGATGTGATCTCAGCTCACTGCAAGCTCCCCCTCCTGGCTTCACGCCATTCTCCTGCCTCAGCCTCCTGAGTAGCTGGGACTACAGGTGCCCGCCACCATGCCTGGCTAATTTTTTGTATTTTTAGTAGAGATGTGGTTTCACCATGTTAGCCAGGATGGTCTTGATCTCCTGAATTTGTGATCCACCCACCTCGGCCTCCCAAAGTGCTGGGATTACAGGCCTGAGCCACCACGCCTGGCCTCTTCATAATTAATCTTGCTGCTGCTCACTCTTTGGGTCCGTGCCACCTTTAAGAGCTGTAACACTCACTGTGAAGGTACGTGGCTTCATTCTTGAAGTCAGCGAGACCATGAACCCCCCAGCAGGAACCAACTCCGGACACACTTAGTTATCTTTTGATTATAGGCTGAATAAGGAGAAGATTATTCATGAGTTTTCTGGGAAAGGGGTTGGCAATTCCTGGAACTGAGGGTTCCTCCCTTTTTCAGACCATATAATTTCCTGATGTTGTCGTAGCATTTGTAAACTGTCAGGGCGCTGGTGGGAGTGTCTTTTAGCATGCTAATGCATTATAATCAGCAAATAATGAGCAGTGAGGACATCAGAGGTCACTTTTGTGTTCATCGTGGTTTTGGTGGGCTTTGGGCCGGTTTCTTTACTGTGTCATCTTATCAGTGGGGTCTTTGTGACCTGTATCTTGTGCCCACCACCTATCTCATCCTGTGGCTAAGAATGTCTAACCTCCTGGGAATGCAACCCAGTAGGTCTCACCCTCATTTTACCCAGCTCCTATTCAAGATGGAATCACTGTGGTTCAAAGGCCTCTGATATGTTAAGCCATCCTCCCACCTCAGCCTCCCAGGTAGCTGGGACTACAGGTGCACGTCACCATCTCCTGCTAATTTTTCAAAAAAATTTTGGTAGAGAAGGGGGTCTCCTTAGGTTATGTTGCCCAGGCTGGTCTTGAACTCCTGGGCTCAAATGATCTTTCCACATTGGCCTCCCAAAGCGTTGGGATCACACGCGCAAGCCACCGCGCCTGGCCCCACAAGTTTCCTTTTAGCACCATGAGGGTGGCTTCAAATAGGGTGGCAGTGGAGGTGAGAGGCCATCAGCCACAGGAGGAGCGTGGGTGGGAGAACAGGAGAGGTCAGGATGCCTTCCAGGGGTTTGGGCCTCAGCGCCGGAGTGATGGAGCTGCCATGACCTGAGAGGGTGGAAAGCGAGGGGGCCTCACGGTGAGCTGGTTTGAGGTTCAAGGCAGAAGCTGCGCCTGGAGCAGAAAGGCACCTGACTGCCACACTGGGGGCAAACAGTGGGCCTCTGCACTCCACCTGCCGGCAAAATCATTTTCTATAACGCCGCATGCCTAAAAATGGGCCAATAAACACAAACCAGACCCAGACCCTTGTTAATTCTTCAACCTGCCTTCCAGCCGAACTCTCTTAGGCCAGAGCTGGGGCCAGGCCGGGTTGGGCGTCGCGCTTGTCAATCATGTAGAACCGGGTGTGATTGAGCGAGTTGGGATCCCATTTCCGACAGCGGCGCGGGGGCGGTCGGGAAACCGGAAAAAGCTTCCAATGACTGTGTTTCCGGCGGCGGCGCGGGGGCAGCTGGGAATCCGGAATGCTGCCCGATGGCCCTGAGTCCTCGCTGTGGGGCAATCCGGGCTTGCAGGCGAGGTAAGGTCGACTCCATTTGGCCCGCGGATGGTCACACGGGCGGGGGCCGGGGCTGCAGTCGCCGCCACGGCTGTTGTCGCGTTGGTCTCGGCCGCACTCGCGCTGTACGGGCCACCACTGGACGCAGGTACCCGACCGCAGACCGCCTCTGCTGGCTCGCGATGGGGAGGCGCCGCCGAGGGGCAGCCCGCGCGCGGGGCCAGGGCGCCGTGTGGCCTGCGGGGCGGGGTAGGGAAAGGCAGGAGGCCTCCTGGAACGGCCCTGCGACGGCTGGGCGCGGCTCGGGGTGACGGGAGCCTCTGCGCGGGGTGACAGAGGGGCAGAAGGTGGCACCGGGGCTGGAGCCAGTGTCTGTCCCGGGAGCGGGCGTGAGCGGCGGAGCCCGCGCGGTGCCCGGGGAACGGGGGGCCGAGGGCCGGTAGGAGGAACCTGGGGCGCCATGGGGCTCTGGTCGGATCCGTCTGCTCTGCTCTGTCCCCGCTCCCGGTCTGGGAAAGATGCTCGCCAACTCCGGGCTTGCTGTTTGGTCCGAGGTGGAGACGGGGGCCCTCCTGGGGTCCAGGGACGCGGCGGGCGTGCAGGCGAGCTGCCCGGCTGAGCGGGCTTCGCGCACACCAGGAGCAGGGCTGCGTCTACATCCCCAGCTTGAAGCCCTAGTGCCACTGTGCAAGTACAGACCCTCCACGTCCTTAGACGAGAGGGACTGGATACTGCGACGCCAGGACCGCAGAAAAGGACTCGACCAGCCAGGCCTCCTTCGCCCGCCCCGTGCCAGGGTGTGGATGTGCGTGCAGGAGGTCCCTTGGGGAGGGAGGCTCACCTGAGTCATCCCCAGAACCTGGAGCGCTGACCAGATGCCCCCGAGGGCCCTGCCCTGGCCTTGGCCGGTCCTTGCACGCTGAGATACCTTTTCAAATAGAACGGATTATGTAGACAGAATGTAAGCAGGAGCTGAGCAAGTGCTTGGAGCCCCATCTTTTCATAGGGCTTTTTCTCTTTCTGTTTGCCTTGTGGGTATTGGTGTATCTAACGTATTTTATACAGGAAGTAGTTCGTGTATATCTCATTTCTCATAAGGACAGATTAGTGTTATCCATCTTGGTGTAGAAGATAAATAGAAGCTCAGAGAAAGTGACTTAGCCAGGATTCTCCAGTCAGTAAGTGGCCAGAATGGTTAAAAGCACCATTTGTTGCTGTAGTCGTTAGACAGATTTTATCTTGTGTATATGTTGGGCATCATCAGAGAGTTTTGGCTTTTTGTTTTCATCACACACACCGAATGCATTGGGTGGCGCTGAGAGGGTGCCCTACACTGTACCTCTGTCACACCAGCAGGGAGGCTTCTTAACACCACTTTAATTAGAGATTTATTTGTAGCTCTTTCCCTTAAATTCACACACCATGATTAGTAGCAAGATTTTTCATTGCACTTGGTTGAGGATTTGTTATCAGACTGAGTTACTAAACATTTACGAAAAGCCAGGTAGAGTTGTATATTACTGACTTCCCATCCAGGCTTTGGGAATATTTCAGTTAACTTAGGGATTGTTGTTAGATGCTCTGAATTAGTTATAATTCACATTAATTTGAAGCACTTTTTTTTTTTAGGTAGAATTTTCCGGTACTAAAAGCACTTTTAGCACAAAGCAGCAATGATAGTCTTCCCAGACATGCTTTCTTAAAACAAAAGCCAAACAGATATGACCTGTTCTTCCAGACTCAGAATTGTGCTGAAGAGTTACTGAATGGGATAAATCTTAAGCCACCTATTGTCAAGGCCTTTTTATTCTTCAGACCTTTGATGTTTATATGTAAATGTTTCTGTGGATAAGTTCAAATGGTGACGTCAGTAAGCCAGCTGGAACTTTCTTCACTGCCAAATGCTGGGAAGTGTAGTTGACCTGCTTTGGCCCTTTTGCTAACGGAAGCTGTTTATCTTAGGTGAACGCTGGTGAGCAGCCTGGATTTTACTTGGCGTTAATACAATTCGAGTTAAGTGAAAATGCTGTACTTCTTATTTTGCCTTAAAATGGCAGCACTTTACGCCTACTGTGTGCCCACAAAAATAAAAACAAAAGCGTGGCAGCACTTTGGTAAAATAGTGTCTCGTGGCCTGGCTTGTTACTACCCACAGCATCTGCACAAGTTTCTCTCTGGGCCCCAGTTTCCTTATCTGTAAAAGAAAGATAAACTGGCTGTGAGTGAGGAGGGTGAATCGCAATGTCTTTACTTTATCGAATAGTTATCAAGTGTCTTGTTCTGTGCCAGGCTGTGTTCGAGGTGATAGAGTCCCATATGGAAGCAGTCAGTGTTGCCGTGTGCGGAAGGTGCCACATTTCCTGCGGGCAGACAGTAGGGTGGTGATTCTCCACCAGTCCAGACATAAGAACTTCCTTCTTATGTCCAGGTCAACCCCTACCATGTAGGTTGTCTGTGTGCTTGAAAGGTTTCAGAACCCCACATGTAATAAAAGTTACTTTTGGTATCACTTTGAATTTTTAAAATTATATAGCAAAAAAGTTACTATCAATTATGTTATGGTTTTAAAATAATTTTAAGCTAGCTTAGATTTGAGAACCATTGTTCTCATATGTAAATCTTTAAATATTCAGTTTCTGGATGATGATGCTTGTTCTCCAGGTTCTTAGACCCAGCCCTTACAGTAGCATCATGGCCAGGGAACTGGGAATCTGACAAAGTCTTAAGATTTCACAACGTAACAGGAGGAGGAGGCGACTCCCGCTGATGGGTTAATCAAGTTGCTATGAAGGTGATTTGCACATTTTGGGCTCCAAAACACTACCTTCTATATAAGATGAAAGAATAGCTCAAAACAGGATTTACCCCCATGTTTTCTTTCTAGGTGTTATAAAGATTGCTATGTGGATGTAGTGTGTTTTCACAAAATCAGAATTGACATTTTTGGCTTGTGTTAAATGGGACTTTAATGCTTAACGTACTGTAAATCTGCCTTAGAAAGTGGCCCATATTTGTATATGGTATTTGATGTTTAAGTCCCCTGATATCTTGCCATTTTAATAAGGCTTACCTTGAAGTGGAAGAAAAATCGTATGTGTTCTTGTCATTATTTGAATAACAATAAAAATCATTATTTGCTTTAAAACCTGCAGGCTTTAAGCATGTCCATGCCTGGACTAGCACATCTCCTCTTTCACAACCAAAAAGATCAAAAAGGTACTATCCCAGTACCCCTGTGCCAAAGCACTGGGAGGACTTTCAGCAAAGTGTGGTGCAGAAGGGAAGCTTTTCCGCTCTGAGGAGCAGGTGTGGAGAGGACAGGCACTTGGAACACAGCACACCTGGGAGCTCTGGCGCTGCAGCTGTGGCCCTGAGGCGGCCCGGCCCTCCTGGGGGGGTGTTGGGCGACACTGGTTGCACAGGGGCAGCAGTGCTCCCCTCCACCCAACAGTGCTCCACCTCGACTCGTGGATGCAGCCTAATTTTGTGTCAAATCCTTTTTGGTAATGTGTGGGTTATTTCAACTATGAGGCAAAGTGCAAATGAGTAGTTAAATGTCGGTTTATGATATTTGCCCTTTTTGATATAAACATTAAATATTTCATACCTCACCTCTGGTACTTTTTTTAAGACTTAAATCTGAAATTTAAGATACAGATGTTCATAAGATATGAATCTTGGATATTGGAAGAAAGAAGCTTCCTGGAAAATGTACAGTATTATCTGGCGTAACCATTTTATTCCTTTTCTTATTGTGAGAAATACGCATTTATTAAGTATTACCATTTCGGAGTTGTTTTCATCAGGCAGGGTACATTGATATAGATGTTAACTTTTAATATCTGTAAGTTGAAGTCTGACTAAATTGTTTTTCTCTGTGATAAGTCACAATTTATATTTTATATGAGCTTAAATATGATTTAATTTGAAGTACTGGTATATTTAAAGGTGCTAAAGCTACACGCGTGCATCTCTACTAGTGGTTCTTAACTCAGGCTCATTTTGCCCCCCACAGAAGACGTTTGGGAGTGTTGAGATGTTTTTGGTTGTCACCACTGGGTGTGTGTGCATGCACTGCTGACTGGGTAGAGGCCAAGGATGCTGCTTAGCATCCTTCAGTGCATAGAACAGCTCCCCATGACTGAGACAGGGTGCTGATCATGATCCATGAATGTCTTTTTGTTTTGAGACAGTGTCTCACTGTGTCACCCAGGCTGGAGCACAGTGGCATAATCTTGGCTCACTGCAACCTCCACCTTCCAGGTTCAAACAGTTCTCCTGCCTCAGCCTCCTGAGTAGCTGGAATTACAGGCGTGCACCACCACGCCCAGCTAATTTTTGTATTTTTAGTAGAGATGGGGTTTCACCATGTTGGCCAGGCTGGTCTCGAACTCCTGACCTCAGGTAATCCACCCACCTCCGCCTCCCAAAGTGCTGGGATTATAGCTGTGAGCCACCACGCCCGACCCCATAAATGTCTCTTCTAGACAAGTGTATTATTTTAAAACCATAATTTAGCCTGCCTGGAGGAATTTCAAGGATGGGCGCATCGGTCCCCTGCAGGTAGCGCAGAAAGCCTCGTTGTGTCTCTTCTAGGTCCACAGATTATAGTGATTCTGTGCCGGGTCTTAGCATGTGTTGGTCTGGAAGAAGGTGAAAAGGTTTGGGGTTGGGCTGGGTGCAGTGGCTCACACCTGTAATCCCAGCACTTTGGGAGGCTGAGATGGGCAGATCACAAGGTCAGGAGATTGAGACCATCCTGGCCAACATGGTGAAACCCCGTCTCTACTAAAAATACAAAAATTAGCTGGGCGTGGTGGCATGCGTCTGTAGTCCCAGCTACTCAGGGGGCTGAGACAGGAGAATTGCTTGGACCAGGGGGTCGCAGGTTGCAGTGAGCTGAGATCGTGCCACTGCACTCCAGCCTGGTGACAGAGTGAGACTCTGTCTCAAAAACTAAAAAATAAAAAAAAGGGTTTTGGGTTGATGGGGATTTGTAGGATCTTGTTATCTTGGGGGATCTCCGCATCTGCTCTGTCAGCTAAGGCACTTACATCTACTCAGAAGGAAAATTCCTTCAAAAATTATGTTGAGTACAAAGTAAAACTGTACGAGTTAAAAGACGAAGCTCTTTTGCCATGAAGCGCTCAGTCAGCTTTGGGCTGCAGTCAGTGGAACTTGTGACACCTCTGGTTTTTCTCTGCTGCTGAGATCATTGGAAGGATAAAAATACTGAGCGCCTTGTTTGAAAAAATACTGTTTATATTTGCAAAGATCCTTTCATTCTAGGGAGAATGTATGCTTTATTATCTATTCATTGAGCCCTATAGAACATACCAGCATTTCTCTCATAGCCGAGCTGTTTTAAATATTAAGGTAAAATATACAACACAGGAAGCTCTTCAAGAAAGGCCAATTAAAGTGTAGCCGTTTAGAGACAACTCAAGATGATGAAATTACTTTAAGTGCCACTTTGAACCCAATTTAAGAAGTGTGTCATATTTAGAACGCCATTTTTAGGTTATTTTTTTTTTTTTTTTTTTTTTGAGACGGAGTCTCGCTCTGTCGCCCAGGCTGGAGTGCAGTGGCCGGATCTCAGCTCACTGCAAGCTCCGCCTCCCTGGTTCCCGCCATTCTCCTACCTCAGCCTCCCGAGTAGCTGGGACTACAGGCGCCCGCCACCTCGCCCGGCTAGTTTTTTGTGTTTTGTAGTAGAGACGGGGTTTCACCGTGTTAGCCAGGATGGTCTCGATCTCCTGACCTCGTGATCCGCCCATCTCAGCCTCCCAAAGTGCTGGGATTACAGGCTTGAGCCACCGCGCCCGGCCCATTTTTAGGTTATTGAATTAGGATCCAGTGGAGTATTGGAGTACAGTTGGGAGTAATATGAGGAATCTGGCGGGCTTCCGAGCATCCCAGTGGATTACAGGTGGGAACTTGCTTTCCAGTTTGTGAGGAGAGAAAAGACCTAATAATCCTAAAGGGAAATTGAAATGAAGTAAGATAGTTTATTAAGTAATAATGCATTTTTGACTTGATAAAATGGTAAAACTTTCTGAAAAATTACATGGTCTTCCAAAATTTCTCATACATTTGAAAAATAAACCTGATCGAAATAGCATGTGTTGTCCTGGCATGGTGGCTCATACCTGTAATCCCAGCACTGTGGGAGGCTGAGGTAGACGAATCGTGAGGTCAGGAGTTCAAGACCAGCCTGGCCAACATAGTGAAACCCTGTCCCTACTAAAAATACAAAAAATTAATTGGGCGTAGTGGTGGGCACCTGTAATCCCAGCTACTCAGGAGGCTGAGGCAGGAGAATCACTTGAACCTAGGAGGTGGAGGTTGCAGGGAGCAGGATCGTGCCACTGCCCTCCAGCTTAGGTGACAGAGCTAGACTGTCTCAAATAAATAAATAGCACGTGTTACTGTGTGTGTTAATTACATGTGTTCAGGCTGGGCACAGTGGTTCATGCCTGTAATCCCAGCACTTTGAGAGGCTGCAGCTGGCAGATCACTTGAGTTCAGGAGTTCTAGACCAGTATGACCAACATGGTGAAACACTCTCTCTACTAAAAATACAGAAATTAGCCAGGTGTGGTAGTGGCTGCCTACTCAGGAGGCTGAGGCAGGAGAATTGCTTGAACCTGGGAGGCAGAGGCTGCAGTGAGCTGAGATCACGCCACTGCACTCCAGCCTGGGTGACGGAGTCAGAGTTCGTCTCAAAAAAGAAAAAAAAAATGACGTGTTAATGTAATTTTGAACATCATATTTGCTTACAGAAATAAAACCACTGGGTAAAAATCTATAGCATTCATATTAACTTTGGAGAGAGTTTTGGCTAATGGGCCATGATGTGTACTAACAATATCTGTTTACCTTTCTGAATTATTCATTTTTCTTGTCTTTCAGTTTTAGAAAGAGCGTTTTCGCTACGTAAAGTACATTCAATAAAGGATATGGAAAATACGTTGCAGCTGGTGAGAAATATTATCCCTCCTCTGTCTTCTACAAAGCACAAAGGACAAGATGGAAGAATAGGCGTAGTGGGAGGCTGTCAGGAGTAAGTAACTGACGTGCAGTGTTGGTGTTTAAAAAGTCAGTTGCTGGCTGGCTGCTTACCTGCCTGTCATTCACGCCGTCTAGTTTGACCTCAGTAATCATTTCCAAGTGCAGCCTGATAGGACACTCGGTATTTTTCAGTGATCCACTTTTTGATTAACTAGGAAACAACTCTGAGGAGCTCTGCCTGGAGTGTTCCCTCGTGTGTGTCAGTGTTAAGTTTTGCTTGTAGTGGGGGAATGAGCCTGTTTTTCCACTTTTTGCTTTTCCATATTTAACCAGACTTCATACCACAAGCATGTTTTTTGTGTTTAGGATAGAAACACTCAGCAACCTGTGGGTTTACTTTGTCAATTTAAAGATGTTACTGAAAGTCATTTATGAAATTTGACAGATCCCTAGCTTGCCTGTGTTCTGTTTTGCTGCTGTGTTTGGCACGTAGCTGTTTGTAAGTTGTCCTTGGGTGTGAAGGATACCTTCTGCCTCTGACGGAAATCTCTTGCTGCTTGCTTTCTGTTTGCATGTGTGTGGTATCTCTCTTTGCCCATCCCTCCATCTGCAGCTGTTGGTCGTGCCATCGGGTGTGTTGAGAGTTGTTACTGGATCAGGTGTGCGTGCATTTACATGCTGGTGCCGCTGCTGAATGGAACCTCCGTTGTGTTTCTGTGTGCTGCTTCCCTAGAGCACCTGCCCTGCAGCCCGTGGAGGACAACCTTTGCTAGTCAAGTCCACAGACTTTCTTGTGTTAATGCATTTCTCTTATTAGTGAGGCTGGTTTTCACATGATGTAAGAGGGTGTGCATGTATGTTGCCTGTTCTGTCCTTTCTTTTGCATTTACAACACTTTCTGTTGACACCGCTTTGCAGGAGAAGGCCATGTAAGGTGACCTGTGTCAGCATTTGCCCAGGTCTCTTTTTCTTGGGTTAGCAAAACATTTCACTGCTTGGAATGGGCATAAAGGTTGCATTTGCCCATCTGATGCCAGGACAAGGCTCTTCCTTTCTGTGCCTGAAGTGCCCTTAGACCTGGAGTGCCAGCGATTCCAGAACAGTGAGGTGGAGGCAGCTGAGTGTGGGTGCTGTGCTGTTTCTTGTTTGTCCTGAGTGGCCCCCGTCTGGCCTCTGCTGACTGTTACTCTTGGAGGACAGTGTCTGCCCGATCTGGGACCCTCTCCGTGCCCGACCGCTCTGAACATGTGGTTGTCACTTTCTTCTCTCTGGGCAGAAGCCTGCGGTCAGCTCCTTACCTTGAACATGCACATTGCAGAGAGACTGCAGGCATTACGTAAGCCAGAGATTCACTCTCCTGAAATGCATGAAGGTTTTATGTAAAAGATCGACATTGCTGGCTGGGCGCTGTGGCTCATGCCTGTCATCCCAGCACTTTGGGAGGCCGAGGCGGGTAGATCACCTGATGAGTTTGAGACCAGCCTGACCAACATGGAGAAACCCCGTCTCTACTAAAAATACAAAATTAGCTGGGGATGGTGTTGCATGCCTGTAATCCCAGCTACTCGGGAGGCTGAGGCAGGAGAATCGCTTGAACCCAGGAGGCAGAGGTTGCAGTGAGCTGAGATTGCGCCATTGCACTCCAGTCTGGGCAACAAGAGTAAAACTCCGTCTCAAAAAAAAAAAAAAAAGATAGACATTTCTAGTCTACCCCAGTTCATGTTCGTTGAACATTACTGAGCATCTTCTAGGTGCTGGGTTTGTGCTTTGTGCTTCATGTCTGTTATTTATTGATAAACCATGTCTATATTATTTATGCCTATTTTTTATTGATAAACTATTTATTGATCAAGGTATGCTTACCTTATTCTCAGAAGTTTTTGACTCTAAATACCTTCTTTTTAGGTACACTGGAGCCCCATATTTTGCAGCAATCTCAGCTCTCAAAGTGGTATGTTTACTTAAAAGTTCCTCATTGGGATTTTTCTGGTGGAGAGTTTGATTAAATATGATTAAAGCAAATGTTTTCTGATAGAAATCTAAATAACTTTTTAAGGTAATCATAGGTAATAAAACACCCTTAAGTCTATCCTGACATCCTGTGCATGAACAAGATCACTTCAATTGAAGCCCATTTTTGTTTTTTTCTTTTTTCTGAGATGGAGTTTTGCTCTTGTCGCCCAGGCTGGAGTGCAGTGGCACAGTCTCAGCTCACAGCAACCTCCGCATCCTGGGTTCAAGCCATTCTCCTGCCTCAGCCTCCCGAGTAACTGGGATTACAGGCACCTGCCACCACGCCTGGCTAATTTTTTTTGTATTTTTAGTAGAGATGGGTTTTCTCTGTGTTGGTCAGGCTGGTCTCAAACTCCTGACCTCACGTGATCTGCCTGCCTTGGCCTCCCAAAATGCTGGGATTACAGGCATGATCCACTTCACCTGGCCTCAATTGAAGCCCATTTTTTAAAACCTAAAGTGTGATTCATATTGTACTCCACCAAAGTGAACCTGGGATGCCTTTGTAGGTCCCAGCTGAAGCAGCTGATCCTTCTGTTTCCCATGCACGGAGCAAGTGCTAATGACCGGCCTTTTTCTGTGACCCTTCCTCCTGGAGGGTGACCAGGCTGAGCTGGGCTGTGCTGGCATGTGTGGCTCTGACCCTGCCTCTGTGGTGGCGGCAAAAGTCTTTCTTTTTAGGTATTGTGCTATGCGCCCTGGCCCTTTGCTAAGCCACCTGGCTGGGTGTAACCCGAACTAGTACGATTCTCGCGCATGTCACCAGGGCACTGGACGCCTGTGTCTGGTGGGTGGGCGGGCAGCGATGCCGGAGCCTTCCGGGGCCTGTGGACCAGGTCCCTGAGTCGGCCTCTTGTGCTCCTTCTTCAGGGCGCAGATTTGTCCCACGTGTTCTGTGCCAGCGCGGCTGCGCCTGTGATTAAGGCCTACAGCCCGGAGCTGATCGTCCACCCAGTTCTGTGAGTCGCTCTGCGCCGGGTTCTCGTGGGTTCTCTTTCCCTCCTGCATCATTTGGGGTTTTTGCACTGACACCGAGAGCGTCTGATGGATTTTCCGTCCTCTGAGTTTGTCAGCAGGTGCTGTAAAGGAAGTAGGGAACGAAAGAGCCCATTCTTCTGTGGTCAGAGTAAGACAAACACGGAGGGGTGAGAGGTGGGTTGGGGGGACTTGGGCCTGTTGGAAATGGCCGGGGCCCAGCTCCAGAGGCAGTGAGGCCCTGTGGGCTGTGTCTGACAGGTTGGCAGAAGGTGGAAACGAAGGGCCGCTGAGCAGTAACAAGACCCTTCGTGCACTCAGCAGGTATGTCTGGTGCCAGGCCGTAGCCTGCGTTCCATGGGTTAGCGTCAAACTGGGCAGGCAAACACCTGCCCCTGTGAGGCTCCCCCAGACAGCCTGTGCTGTAGAGCTTGCTGCGTGGAGGTGTTCTCTCTGCCATCCAGGATTGTGGCCACTGAGTGCTTGAAATGTAGCTGGGAGGTGCAGGAGCGGAGCTTTTGCTCTTGTTTACTTTTAATCGTGTGTGTTCACATAGAGTGAATTGGGCTGTGCTGCTCTGGAGACAGACAAGGGAGCAGGATGTCAGGTGGTGAAGGAACCGCAGAGAGTGGCAGCAGGGGGGAGTTGTGAGAGTGGGCAGGGGGTGGTCGGGGCGGCAGCACAGTGTGACGACGCCTGGGTAGAGCCCAGCCTCTCCACACCAGGGAGGAGCCGGTGCAGAGCTCCAGGTGGGGCGCTGTGAGGTGTCGGGTGACCAAGAGGTACAGGGCTGGGCCCCACAGGGTGTGGGGCTGCTGTCAGGGCTGTGGCTGTGGTACTGAGTGGGCAGGGCAGGGCCAGTGTGGCTCATAAAGGCTCCTTGGGGGCTGTCGGGCTGGGCCCCTGTGGCCGGGGTGGAGGCTGTGTTAAGGGCCTGTGGGAGGGAAGGGTGCGGTTAGATGGTGAGAGGGGTCAGATTCTGGGTAGCTTGGAAAGTTTGGGGGCGGAATTTGCTGACAGATTGGATTGGAAAAGGCAGGTGGCACGGACTCCACCAAGGGTTTTGGTCTGAGCGAGGTGTCGCTCCACGTGGTGGAAAAACGGGCTTGGGTGGGATGAAGATGAGGCGTTGGGTGTGGAGTACAGTTTGGCTGCCAGTTCGACATCCAGGGGATGTGGCTAGTGGGCATTGGACAGTGGGGACATGGACTTGGGAGGCGTGCACATGTGGACGGTGCTTAAAACTGGACGACGAGGGAGTAAGAGGCAGAGGGGGGCTGGGTAGGGGGCTTGGCACTCAGATGCTGGGAGCATGGGCTGGGGAGGAGGCGGCAGGGCCTTCAGGAGTCAGTGAAGCCGCTGTTTCCAGACAGTACTAGAAGGGCCTGTGTGTGCCACTCTGGGTCAGTTCGAGATGAGGCCTGAGAACAGATGGTACATCTCACAGTGTGGGGTTCTTGGTGACCCTGAGAAGGGAGCTTGTCAGGGAGGAAAGGAGACAGAAGCCTTAACAGTGGGCTCAAGGAGAGGACACACCGAACAGGGAGGAGGTCTGAAGAAGCAAAACCCTGCCTTGTCCTGAATGAGAAACCGCAGCAGGATCAGTGCGTTGTGTGGGGCCTGGTGTGTAAGCACACAACGTAGGCTTTACAGCCACACGTGTATGTGGTGGAAACAAACTGGCTCTTTTGAAAATAGCCATCACTCTTTTTCTGACTTGTCTTAACTGTTGAAAGCTGGGCATCTAAATCTGGGCATTGAAAGATAGATCAGGGAGAGGCAATGGCCACATGCAGTGTGGGGCTGGTTTGGGTCCTGAAACGGGAAGAGGACATCAAGAGGAAACGGGAAATTTGGAAAATGCCGTGGTTTAATGAATGGTATTGAACCAATGTGAAGTTAGTTATGCTGATCCGGAATGTGGGTGTGTGAAGCGTTAACCTCAGGGGAGGCTGGGCAAAGGGTACGTGGGAGCCTTCTGTACTGATTAAATAATAAATCTAAATTACAGAAATTATTTAAAAGTCATTACTATTTGTAGCCAGGAGAATGGCGTAAACCCGGGAGGCAGAGCTTGCAGTGAGCCGAGATCTGGCCACCGCACTCCAGCCTGGGTGACAGTGAGACTCCGTCTCAAAAAAAAAAAAAAAAAGTCATTACTATTTGTAAATTTTTTTTTCAAAATAAAATGTAAACGAATACATGACAGTAAATAAATGAGGAGTTGTGGGTAACCGTCCTGGCCTTCCTTTCCTTCTTTAGCGACAGCCCCAGTGCTGTTCATGAGGTGGAGAAGTGGCTGCCCCGGCTGCACGCTCTTGTCGTAGGACCTGGCTTGGGTAGAGATGATGCGCTTCTCAGAAATGTCCAGGTAATGTGTATACTCACTCACTTTCCTCATGACAGGCTTAGCCCGTAGGTGTGAGGTTGGAACCGAGGCATTTCTATTCCTTTTTGTGTAGTGTTCTATCGGGAGAACCCGCTCCCAATGTTTAACGTGGGTTCTTTTCTGTTTCCCAAGTGTCTCGGCTGGGTTGAGAAATAAAGGGAAAGAGCACAAGAGAGAGAAATGTAAAGCTGGGTGTCCGGGGGAGACATCACATGTCGGCAAGATCCGTGATGTTCCCCTAGCCATAAAACCAGCAAGTCTTTATTAGCAGTTTTCAAAAGCAGAGGGAGTGCACGAATAGGGTGTGGGTCACGGAGATCACATACTTCACAAGGTAATAAAATATCACAAAGCAAATGGAGGCTGGGCGAGATCACCGGACCACCAGATAAGGAGAAATTAAAATTGCTAATGAAGTTTCGGGCACACATTGTCATAGATAACATCTTATCAGGAAACAGTGTTTGAGAGCAGACAACCTGTCTGACCACAATTTATTAGGTGGGGATTTTCCCGTCCTAGTAAGCCTGGGAGCACTATAGGAGACCGGGGCTTATTTAAGGGCCCGTCTATAGGCCCACCCTCAGGGCGCATTCTCTTTCTCAGGGGTGTTCCTTGCTGAGAAGAAGAATTCAGCGATATTTCTCTTATTTGCTTATGAAAGAGGAGGAATAGAGCTCTGTTCCGTCCGGCTCACCGGCGGCCAGTTGAAAGTTACCTCTCTTGTTCCCTGAACATCGCTGTTAGCCTGTTCTTTTTTTAAGATGCCTAGATTTCCTATTCACACACACATGCTCTACAAACAATTTGTGCAGTTGACACAATCACAGGGTCCTGAGGCGACATTCATCCTCCTCAGTTTACAAGAAGATGACGGGATTAAGAGGTAAGTAAAGACAGGCGTAGGAAATCACAGGGGTGTTGACTGGGGAAGTGACAAATGTCCATGAAATCTTCACAATTTATGTTCAGAGATTACAGTAAAGACAGGTGTAAGAAACTACAAAAGTATTAATTTGGGGAACTAATAAATGTCCATGAAATCTTCACAATTTATGTTCTTCTGCCGCGGCTTCAGCCGGTCCCTCCGTTCGGGGTCCCTGACTTCCCGCAACAGTGTTCTGTGCGCCTCTTCATGGCGTGATTGAGATAAGATTTGAGGGACAGAGGAGAAACAGTGCAAAGGTGGTGAGGAGCTGTGCTGAGACCTGCTTCCCTCCGGGCCCAGCTGCTTTCTCACGGAGCAGCTGCCGGAGGTGTGTGTGGAGTTGCTCTGATGTTTTCTGCCTGATGTGAGGAGAGGGTGAGCAGGATTGAGGAGCTGACAGAGGTTTGGGGTCAGGCCTGAGTGTACCTCCCAGGCCACCCCCTTCTCGCTGGGGACCGTGGGGTTCCCTCAGCCTCCTGGGCTGTTGTTCCCGCACAGCCCTGGCGCCATGCTCTGCTGACATCAGGCTGTGAGGTGACACGGCCAGCTTGTCCGTGCCCACATGCATGCACGTGTACTCTTCATTGATGCTGCTATTTATTTCTTAAAGTTCATCTTATGCCCACCTGAATCCAAAAAGATGAAAAATATTCTGATCACTTTGTGTCTGCTGTAAATAAATACCACCTGGGATCAGGGCAGTAAAAACACGGGATGGCTGCCAGCTCTGTGTTCCCTGCATCCCCTGATGCTCCCTGGGCTGGTGTGTGTCTCTGCTAGGGGTTGTGCTCCTGTGGGGATGCAGCTCAGGGACTGCCCTCTGAGGCCCTTTCTCCAGTTCCAGGGGACCCCTGTTAGAGCTCCTGGGGGAAGACACAGTGTGCCAGACAGCCTGGTGCCGCAGGGCGCTCACATGTGCAAGGCGTGGTGACTGCATGGGGATCAGAGGCCGGGCATTAGTGAGGGACTATGCTTAAAGCCCTTAGAAAGTGCCTGGCCATTCTGTGTTCCCCAGATCAGCAGTCACCCTGAAAGTGCCAACCATCTGCATGGCACTCTGTTGAGTGCTTAGTTAACGGAGGGGTCTCTGAGACCGCGGGGCTTGAAGGCGGCGAGTGACGGAGCCAAGCAGTGCAGGATGAGTCATCTGGGGGGCAGGCAGACGCAGGTTGGCACTGCACAGACCAGGGAAAGCAGCGTGGAGTTAGCACCGGAGCCCGACTTTGAGCTTTAAGGTCTCACCCGCTCACCGAGAAGTAGGAGGTGGCCTTGTTTAGGAGCAGGAGAGCCCCTCTGTCATCCCGGGGGAGAGGCTGTCAGTGGGGAGTCCCATTTGCAAGCTGCGGGTCTGCGGTGCACGGCTGCTGCTCCCTGTCCCGCTCTGCATCCTGGGGGTGCGGATGAATTAAAGGTGAACAAGCCAGAGTTCTCTGCTTCAGGTTCTTTTCTTTGTGAATTTAAGTTCATAATGTAAAAACTGGTATCTTAGAAAACCAGTCTGCAGCATGGAAGTGTGAAAGGTGGGAGGTGAGGGTGTCCGTCACTGCCCCTGCTGCCCAGACTCCGGGCCTTGCATTCGGGTTCCCGTACACTCTCACCGTGGTCTTGAGAGCCCTCAGGTCATCTAGTGTGGGCTGCCGCCGCCTCGTCAGCTTCCAGCTCGTGCCTGGCGTGGAGCAGAGGCTTCCTACCTCGTCGACATTCCTGAATGAGGTCATCATCTGGTGTAGGCCTGAAAACAACCCCATTAGGTCGATTTCTATTCATATCCCCATTCTTCTGATGACAAATTGAGTCCTGGCAAGGGTTCAAGACGCCCGCGGGGTCTTGTAGCAAGGAAATTGGCAGAGGTGGTTTTTTAAAAGTGACTTTATTTAGATAATTTACCTACCATACCCTTCACCCGTTTAAAGTGAACTATTCGGTAGCTTCAGGTATATTCACAGTTGTGCAACCATCACCATGATCAACCTTAGAATATGTGTATTGCCTTCAGAAGCAGCCCATCCCCGTTAGCATCTGCTCCCTGTTCCCCAGTCTCCCCAGCTCCTGGCAGCCACTCAGCTAGTATGCTGTCTGTCTCTCTGGATTCGCCTGTTCAGGACATTTCGTATGAATGGAATTACGCAACGTGTGCTATTTAGTGACGAGTTACGTCACTCTGCATAATTTTATATTTGGAGTTCCCTGTGTAGTAGCACGTATCAGTACTTCGTTCCTCTTTCTACCTCTAATATTTCATTGCATGGATATACCACCTTTGCTTTATCTGTTCACTAATTTATGGAAATTGGTTTCCACTTTTTGTGTGGATGTGTTTTCACTCTCCCGGGTGTCAGTGTTTCACAGTTTGAGGCCCTGCCACTGTCTCCCATAGCGGCTGCGCTGTTTTCCATTCCCTCCAGCAGTGTGCAAGGGCTCTGATTCGCCACATTGTCCCCAGCACTTGTTACTGTTGTCGTCTATTAGCAGCCACTCTAGTGGGCGTGGAGTGACCTCCCTGTGGTTTGGTTTGCGTTTTCCTGGCCGCTGATACTGTTGAGCATCTTTGCATGGGCTCATTGGCTATTTGGTTATCTTTTTTTGTTTTGTGTTTTTTTGAGACAGATTCTCACTCTGTCACCCAGGCTGGAATACAATGGTGTGATCTCGGCTCACTGCAATCTCTGCCTCCTGGGTTCAAGTGATTCCTTTGCCTCGGCCTCCCAAGTAGCTTGGACTACAGGCACCCACCATCACACCCAGCTAATTTTTGTATTTTTAGTAGAGATGGGGTTTCACCATGTTAGCCAGGCTGGTCTCAAACTCCTGACCTCGGGTGTCTGCCTGCCTCAACCTCCCAAAGTGCTGGGATTACAGGCGTGAGCCACCATGCGTGGCCTGTTTGGGTATCTTCTTTGGAGAAGTGTCTGTTCTCATACCCTTTCCCCATTTTGAAAACTCTTTGCCTTTTTATTATTGACTTTCAGGAGTTCTTCATATACATTCTAGACACAGGTTCCTTATCAGACTATGTGCTGATATCCTCTCATTCTGTAGGTTGTCTCTTCGCTTCCTTGATGGTTTTGTTTACAGCACAGATTTGTAATTTTGAAGTCCAATGTAGCTGTTTTTTCTTTTGTCCCTTGTGCTGTTGGTGTCTTATCTAAGAAGCATATGCCTAACCCAAGGTTTACTCCTACATTTTAAGAGCCTTATTGTTTTGGCTGTTACATTTAGCTCTGTGGTGCATGTTGAGCTGATGGTGTGGTAGAAGGAAGGCTGCGGCGTCAGGCTTTTGCTTGTGGGTGTCCCGTTGTTGCAGCACCCTGTGTTGGAGAGACTCTTCTTTCCTCCTGACTTGTCTTGTCGGGAGACCGTTGACCCTAATGTGAGGGCTTATTTCTGGACTCTTGTTTCTGTTCTGTTGGTCTGTACAGCTGTCCTGCAACTGCCCAGTCTTGACTGCTGTGGCTGTGTAGGAAGCCTGGATATTGGAAAGCCCGCATCCTCCACATTCGTTCTTTTCAAGGTTGTTTTGGCTCTCCCGGGCCCCGTGCGTTCCAGTTTTGGATCAGCTTGCTGACTGGTGGAGCAGGCAGCTGGGATTTTGGTAGGGATGATGTTGAAACGGAAGATCAGCTGAGGAATGTCTAACAACATTAAGTTTTCTGGCTCCTGGGCTGACTTTGAACCCACGTTGTCTGAATCTAGAGCGCAGGCTCTTGACCAATGCACCTGTCCTCACACTGTGCTCTTTTCACACGCATTAACAGTGTGTCCTGGTGAACCCACGCTGTCTGAATCTAGAGCGCAGGCTCTGACCAATGCACCTGTCCTCACACTGTGCTCTTTTCACACGCATTAACAGTGTGTCCTGGTCCTCACACTGTGCTCTTTCCACACGCATTAACAGTGTGTCCTGGTCTCCTCACACTGTACGCTTTTCACATCAAAAAAAAAAAAAGATCAGCAAAACTCTGTCCCTAATGCAAAACACAATGGTTTACAACCAACTCGCTGTCATGCCAACAGACATGAAATATCCTACCCTACATCGCTAAGCACGATTAACAGTGTGTCCTGTCCTCAAGCACTCGTGCTCTTTTCACACGCATTAACAGTGTGTCCTGGTCCTCACACTGTGCAATTTTCACACGCACAACAGTGTGTCCTGTCCTCACTGCAATTTCCTTTCTCACACGCATTAACAGTGTGTCCTGGTCCTCACACTGTGCACTTTGGGGACTTTTTCACGGCAGGGTATGTGATATTCCTCATTATTTTTAACAGCTACATCAGAATTTACTGCGGATCTACTGCAGTGTGTTTAACTAGTTCATTCACACTGTTTTCTGCTTTTTTCGTGTTAACATCAGTAGTGTCCTGAACCTATGTATTTTGTCCACTCTTTTGGGTGTTAGAAGATAAATTTTTAGAAGTTCCATTGCTGAATCGAAGAGTAAGGACGTTTCAGTTTTGGAGAGATGCCTCCAGATTTCTCCGTAGCGTACCGTGGTTTGCTTTCCCACGGGTGGGGACACCCTGCTGCGCTGGGTGCTCTGATGCGCGAATCTTTCTAGGAGACCCATGTAACACTGCATTTTCCAGGGTTTGAATGTTCACTTTTGACTACTCTTTGCGAATACATTAAAAGAAAACACAGAAACAGATGAAAATGTCAGATTGTTGCCAAATCCTGCAACACGAAATCAGAAACTGATCTAAAATCTGAACTAGCAGAAGCCTGCCGGCTTTACCGGTGAAGCCAAACTCAGGGCAAGCAAAGAATTTTTATTGTTAATAAAGGAAATCAGCTTCAGGAAGTCTCAGGTACCCGCCTCCCTGGAGGGGCTTCAGGACACACTGCTAATGCCCCGACCCGTGTCAGAGCCAGGTAGACGCTTCCCCACAGCTGGAATGGGCGTCACAAACAAGCTGGAACGAGCACTTCGTGAGGCGAGCAGCTAACGCTTTGTCAGCTTTCAAATTTCATTTCTCATACCTGGCGTTAGTTTTCAATACCTTAAATTATTCTGACTTGGCATGTATTTTGTTTAATGTTCTCTATCTTAATGTTTTCTACTATCAGGTGTCTATCAAGTCAAGATCACTTTACATGCTACTGCTGCATATAATCTTATCACAATATATTGGTTCATAATAATAAAAGCCACCAAATATTGATTACATATATATATATGTATCTACACATCAAGGTTTTTTTTTTTTGTTTAAATAGAAAACCTTTGACACCTTCACTGTAATCCTATCAGGGAAAAATGATTCCGTTTATTATTGTCACTTGTTATTTTAAAATATGTAAGTAAAGTGATATGAAAAATACATAATGACTAATGATTTGGGGAATTCTCAGGAATTCAGATTTCTTGCCTCCGAATGCTGCAGATTAGTATCTGTTGGAGAACTGGAAGCCCTCGCTGGGGCGGGGGAGGTGTGTCTTCGTGAGTTAGCCTAAGAGCCCAACTGTTGTTTATAGCATTTCCACTGGGCTTCGCCTTTCAGAGTTCCCAGTGTCCTGCCTTATTTAGGGGCTCTGCTAGTTCATTGGGTCTTTCTGCTTCTCTATTTTATTCATTTACTTGATTATTTTCCATTTGATGACCTGGTGTTGCATTTTATTAAGAGTCTGCTCCATTTTCTTTCACTGCTGTTGGGAAAAGTGTCTTCGTCTGTTTTGTGCTGCTATAGCAGTGCCACAGACTGGGTGACTGATAATGAACAGGCGTTTTACTGGCTCGTAGTTCTGGAGGTGGATGTCCATCTGGCGAGGGCAGAAGGGCAGGAGAGAGACCCTTTATGCCCCTTTTAAAGGTCATTAAACCCACCCATGAGGGCACTGCCACGTCACCTTTTAAAAGTTCCACCTCCCAAGACCCTTCCATTGGCAATTAAGTTTCACCGTGAGTTTTCAGGAGACACTATCCACACTATAGCAGAGGCAGCAGGCGTGGTACTCAGCCTGGTTTTCTCTTCTGGCAGGGCATTTTGGAAGCATCAAAGGCCAGGGACATCCCTGTCATCATCGACGCGGTGAGTTGACCTCTCTCCTCCTGGCTCGGACTCCCGGAAGGCCTGTGCAGTGAGCACGGCTCCTTGTTCTGTGCAGGACGGCCTGTGGCTGGTCGCTCAGCAGCCAGCCCTCATCCAAGGCTACCAGAAGGCGGTCCTCACCCCCAACCACATGGAGTTCAGCAGACTGTATGATGCTGTGGTGAGTCAGTGGACTCCCTGAGGGGTGGATGCAAGCCCCATTCGTCCTGAAGAGGGTGAAGGACGCGCTCCATGCTTCTGCCCAGCCTGTCCCTGTGGGCACATCTCTGCAGGGATGCAGACCTGCAAGTAATTGCTGTGCCTCTCCCGGTGGGTGGCCCGTCTTGGCATTAGTGCTCTTGGATTGGATGAATGATGGTGTAGTGGGCTTGGGACAGGCAGGGACTCGGGTCAGCCAGCCCCTCCTGCAGCACACTGTGGACAGATCACTTTCTGTGTCTGGAGTGCCTCGTCTGTGATGTGATGATGGCATCTACTTCACGGGGTTGTGAGGATGAGATGAGGAATCCTGTGTAAAGCCGTGAGTCCCCACACGGTGAGTGTCCTGTCAGTGTTAGCGCCCAGTACAACTGGAATTTGTATTACTCCTACAAAGCTCTCAGAACCCAGCCTTGGGTGGTCCTCCTTCAGCCTGCTCTGACCAGGTAGAGGACGGGCACTGCAGCAGGCACCGTGTCGGCATCTGCCCAGAGGACTCGCTGCAGGCGATATCCTGGGCTTCCTTCCACCTACGTGGCCTTTAGCAAGTGCCTGGGTGATCCCTTTAGGCACGAGAGCGTGAGTCTCATGGCGGATGGGACAGGGCTATCCGTCACGTCGTGTGTCGTGTGTCTGAGGAAGACGTTGCTTTTTCTGTGTCTTCCTGTGTTGTCATAGCTCAGAGGCCCTGTGGACAGCAATGACCGCCATGGATCTGTGCTGAGACTCAGCCAGGCCCTGGGCAATGTGACGGTGGTCCAGAAAGGAGAGCACGACATCCTCTCCAATGGCCAGCAGGGTGAGTGGCGGCTGCCCTCTGTGCGTGGGCTGGTGCCGGGTCAGTCAGCGTGGCCACGCTGAGCGCGAGCCCTGGAAGACCTCTCCCGTGCACACGTGTTCATGCGCATTCGCACAAAGGGATTCGTGCTGTCAGCCACACCTTCTCCGGAGTCCATGTTTTGACTTCTCACTGTTTTGCCGGGGGAGGTGACCGTGGTGAGAGCAGGCTTTCGAGCTGTGGGCCTTACCCGCCGGCTGAATTCCCACGCCTCAGTTATGAGAGGCAGTGTGGCGGAGGGTGCCTGCAACAGCAGGGCATTCCCCAGCTGCCACCTTCGTCTCACCTGTGGCATCCATGATCCCTGCAGTTACTCTGTATTGTATTGCGTCTCATTCTCTTTTATCAAAATGACTGGAAAGTGCAGAAAGCCCTGGGGCTGCTGGTAGTGGAATCTCAGGCGCTGAGTGTGGCGGGTCTCAGCCAGAGCCTGGGGAGGCTTCAGCAAGAGCCAAGTGAGAGCGGGGCGGAGGCCGGGCCCAGCGTCAGCGAGGCCTCCGGGGAGCCATGCCCTTGTTAGCTCTGAAAATGGAAGCCCCCCTCCATTCAGGCCTGAACAGATGATGAATAGCGAATGTACTCACCTGTTGAGCTGTGAGGCTGCTGAGTAGGTACCAAAATCAGGGTAGAACACTGAGGCATCTGTGGGCGGGTGTGCCCAATCCACATTTGTACATTCACGTTCACATGCACACATTTGCACACTCATGCACTTATACACATGCAGTCATGCTCACGCAGCCTCACACATGCCCTCACACACTCATGCACTTACACACATGCACGGTCGTGCTCGCAGCCTTGCACACGTCCTTACACACACATCCACACACAGCTATGCACAAGGAACACAGGGCAGATGTTCTCAGAGGGACTCTTGACACCTTTGAGATGAAGGTTTTTTAATCACTGGAAGGCTCTCTTGGGTCTAACAGGTTCAGACAGTGTAACACCTGGTTTTCAAAACATTTTCCAAAGAAACAGAATTCCCACATACACAGGCACAGGTGACGTTATGAGGCCAGTGGAGGCCTTACTTGGTGTTGCGCTTTATGACCGAGCTGTGGTTTAAGGTGCACTCTGGAGTGTGGGCTGCAGGCGAGGGCTCGTCCTCCAGGAGCTGGTAGGAGGAGCTGGAGGCTGGTGCCGCCCTGCTCAGAGCTGCCTGCTTGGGCTTGTCTGAGGCGGTTCTGAGCTGCAGGTGTCTCCACCAACCTGCTGTGCTACACAGCCGGGTCTGGGGCAGCCTCACCCCTGTGTGCCTTGATTTCCTCTTTTGTAAAACAGAGGCTGCCTCCAACCCTTGGAACAAACAGGGAAAAGCCGTAGCGGGCAGGATGTGAGTGGAGCCTCGGGCTGCTCCTGGAGGGTGTGGCTCTGCCTGCCGTGCGGCCTTCCACACGCATGGCTACTGTCACATCCATCCACATGGCCATGCTGACACCTGCTCTCACTTCCGCCCTGTGCAGTGCTTGTGTGCAGCCAGGAAGGCAGCAGCCGCAGGTGTGGAGGGCAAGGAGACCTCCTGTCGGGCTCCCTGGGTGTCCTGGTGCACTGGGCGCTCCTTGCTGGACCGGAGAAGACAAACGGGTGAGGCCACATGTCTTCATTTATTCTACTTTGAAACCGTCTGATTTTTCTAAGCTATTTCAGTAGCTCATGCGTTGAATAAGTAGCCCTGGAGACACTGAGAATGAACTCTAGGCTTCACTGGAGAGATCCTGGGGCACAGGCGAACCCTCTTGGCAGAAGCTTCCACCCCACACTTGGCCTGGGCCTGTCCCTCGTTCACTGTGGATGGGGCCGGGGCAGAGTTGGTCTTCAGAGCTCTCCAGAGAGTTCCGAGGTGTAACCAAGGCCCAGCAGCACGCCGTTCTAGGAAGTTGAGTGGTTTACATAGAAAACAGGGTCAAGGCTTACTTAGACACTTGTTCTTAAAGACATGAATTTTCTTTAAGAGACAGCAGAATTCTAGGACTTTATGAATGCAAGCAGTTCCCATGCCTCTGAGCACCTCTGTTTCTCTTTTGTGAGCCCATCAGGGTGGCGGCTGCAGCTGCTAAGTGTGGCAGACCTGGGCTTCTGGAGGGTGGGCAGGCCTGTCATCCAGTGGCCTCATCTGTCCTCATTGCCAGGATGGCAGAGTCTGGGACCAGCCCCTAAACTAGGTGTGTCCACATGAACTTGAGAGCTGAGGAGGTCGGGGTGTGGGCAGGGCAGGAGTCTTCCCGTTCGTTCTGCTGGGTTCACTCTGGTTCCCTCCGCCCCTCTCCCAGGAGATGGAGCCCTGGTAGCAGGAATCCACATTCTCAGACCTCAGATGCCCTCCACACCCAGGCGCTGAGAGCACAGTCAAACAGGGCTAAGCAGCATGTGCTGCCTGGCTTTCCCCAGGAATACCTGGCGCGCCGCGGGCCCTGGCCCTGCCTCCAAGTACATAGACATTTCCCGTGTGCCTCCTGCCAGGGAGTAGTGGAGGGTTAATGGTGGTTTTCGCTGTGATAAAGCTGCTTTCTCCTCAGAGGCGTGTCAGACTTGAAATTGACAATTTGGGGTCCCAAGATTGACACAGGAGTCAAAACCAGAGCCCAGGTTGGCTGCGGCCCCCGGACCACGACGGCCACTTCCCCACACCTCCCGCTGTCGCCCTCTCCGCAGGTCCAGCCCTCTCCTGGTGGCTGCATTCGGCGCCTGCTCTCTCACCAGGCAGTGCAACCACCAAGCCTTCCAGAAGCACGGTCGCTCCACCACCACCTCCGACATGATCGCCGAGGTGGGGGCCGCCTTCCGCAAGCTCTTTGAAACCTGAGCCCACGCAGACCAGAAGGAAGTAGGCACCTCGGACGGGGGAGAGCGTGTGTGTGGTGGGAAAATCCGGAGCCACGTGTGTGCTGAAGGCGCGCAGTGCTTGCCAGATTTTCAACTTGAGCATAAATTGGTTGCTGTTGAGAATTTAAGAATTTGGAATATTGCAGGTTTTGGCTAAACTGAATGCGTGGTTGGAGATGTTATGGTGACACTAAACAAAGTATTCCTGAACTCTCCTTAGCTCCTTGGTAGTAACCGAGAAGACGGAAATGAAGAAAATCACGAGAATGAAGAATTCCTTAGCAGCTCAACAGAATTTATTTCTCCACCTGCTCCCAAATCAGCGAAGTTTCTACTTGTTTCTCTCTCTGCCAACGCCCTTCATTTCTCTCCTGCTTCCCTCCCCTAGTCGTTCCTCCGGCAGGGAGCCGGGCACGGGTCCCCGGGTGTCTCCGAGTCCTGACTGCACTGACTGCGTTTCCTCTGACTGGCCCATCAGAGGGCTCTTCCTTCTGCAGCTCGTCGTCTTTTCAAGTGGTGATGAGCTTGGTGGTGTCCGGCTGCTGGTATTTGGTTGGCTTATTGACATACTCCAGGGTAATCAGTGATCACTTTGTTTGGAAACCGTTTTGGAGGCACCATGGGAACAGAAGGAAACCTGAGTGACGCTGACCCTTGAGTGGGTGGGCGGGGAGCTTAGACGCCTCCTCTCCCACGCTCTCCAGTGTCCATGTCTGCACAGAGGTCCCCATGACACCCACCAGCCCCAGCAGAGCAGACTTGACCGGGGACGGGCACCATGGAGGGCTGCAGCCTGGAATCTGACGTGGCCGCTAGTGCTGTCTCAGGAGAAGGCTCTGGGGGACTTGGGGCATGCTGGGCCTGGTGCAGCGATGGCACTAAGGAGACCTGGGGAAAGACAGTGTCGTGGTCATGTGTGCTTAGGAAGCAGCGCGGCTGTGTCCTCAGGGATGTTCGCGTCCAGTAAAGACACTAGTAACTGCACTTCAGCTAATACGCTTCATGGCAGTGTTGCCCTCGGGTTAGCTTCTGTTGTCTGTATGGTGGTTTTCCTGGAGCGGCCTGACAGTGACATGTTCTCTGGTCCTATGTCTTAGTGGGGCTTGGTACCGTTTTGTGCCTGACGCGTGCACTAGGGTGTTCTCTTCTACTTTCTGGGACGCCCTTTCCACTGCAAGGGCAAACCCTCCTGGTTCCCGTCAGAGTCTTTTTGGCCTGATGATGACTCTTGAGTGATACCCTGCCGTGTAGACACGCCCCAGATGGATTCTACTTTCTTTAAAACTAGGAACTTTGAAGATTAAAAAATAGATTGTCACTACTAATTCGACACCTAACTTCAGAAGCTTCATGTCCAATGTGAACTTTTCCAGAAAAACCATGCCATGGACATTTTTCCTTTGGGGAATTAACATCCAGATTCTGGTAACTATTAAAAGACAGATCTGGTTAATTTAAATGGAGCGTTGTATTTTTTTCCTTAAACAGCTGAAGCTCCCCTTTCAACTTTCTTAGGTGAGGATATGGTGAGCTACCAGGGAGATAAAAGTATACAAGCCTGTCTGTGTGAGACTGCCCTCACCGCCAGCGCCTCTCCCCCATGATGGCTGCGATAAAGCGCCTTGAAGGATAAGCCCAGGGCAGCCCGTTCTTTCCTTAGGAAGTACGATTCAGCAGTCACAGGAATTATTTGTATGGTTTTTATGACTAAATTTTTGTTCTAAGTAAAACATCCCTTTACTTAAAGGAGAGAATGGGTTTTTTTTTTACGATCAGCTCATTGCTTCCCTGTTCTTTCTCAAACCCACATATTTCATGTACTCACTCCAGCCGGACAGGCTCCCAGGAGCTTCCCTGGACCAGGAGAGCCAACGGGGAAGTGTGTGCGGGTGGGTGGACGGCCCGTGAGGCAGTGGCCTGGCTGTGGGGGACAGAGTGCCCCAGTACGGAGCAGCTCTGTCGAGATGCCTCATTGTAAGGAGCCCTCTGGGGACTTTTTCTATGTGGGTAGCTTTACTAGGGTGATTTTCTAGGTGAGTGACTTCTGAACTGGCGTTCTCCTCTGTAGAGAGGAGACCTGTGCCTCAGGTTAAACGATGAGCAAGGCTGCACCCCCCGTCACAGGTCCTGCTGCTGCCTGTACCCGTGGGACTGAGATGCCAGTGCGACAGGGAGAGGCCTGGCCCAGGCTCTGCGAGCGGGAAGAGTGGAGAGGGTCACCCTGCTGAGTCACTGGCAGCTGTGGTGCTGGGCTTACTACAGAAAGGCGAGATCCAGCGCAAGGCGGGTGCTTAGGAGGCCACCTGCAGCCCAGGCAGCCTGCTGTGCACTGGCCGCCACCGGCTCCCGCTCAGGAATCCTGTCTCACACCTCGCCAGCTGGCGCTCAGCCTGGCTGCCCGGCCTCCTCCGGAACCACCCTTCCCAGGCCCAGCTCGACACCTCGCTGCTGTGCTCAGACCATGACGACCCAGATGGCCTGCGGCTGTCAGGACGTTAACTGCAGCGGGACTGCAGACAGGTTCTCAGCCGCACTTTTTCTATGGTGAATGTGTTACTTTTGTAACCACAGAAACAAACTAAGATTGTGTTCTTGCTGGGGGAGGGGTTCCCAGAGTTAGCATGGCCTGGCGTCCCTGCTCTGCCTGACTGCTGCTGCGTGGCCCACCCACCTCACCCATCCCCAGCCCCTCCCTCAGGAGGAGACAGGCTGTGTCCTGCCGCCTCCCTGGGTCCCTGCTCTTCTGTTCCTGTGCTGTCTGTTCCCTGGGCACAGGGCCAGTGGGTCTCACGCACAGGCACATGTGCTGCTGGATGCTACTGAATGTTTGACACCACTCAGTCGACGGTCTGTAGCCACAGAACGCAGTGAATGTTTAGGCTTAGTTACTAACAGACGCCAGTGGGACACTGTTGGTTGCCTTACTTTAATGCTGACCTAGCAGCCCCGACAGGAAGCTTTAACATAAAGCCTTTAACATAAAGCACAGGCGCATCTTGTCTGAGCAGGTTCATGGCTGCGCTCCATCCTCAGCCCGCTGCTTTTTGGTCTTTTGTCCTTTGATCCAGCAGTTCCCACGTGGACGTTGTACTGTTTCTGTCCTGGAGAAGAAAAGTGAGGTCCAACTCTGAGCAGACACCACGTCACGTGGCACAGGGGGCTGACGAGCGTGACCAGGTTCAGGGTGCCTGTTCCCTCACTGCCCTGTCCTAAAAAGCTGGCCGGGCGCTTAGAAAAGGGCCCCACTGCCTCCAGCAGAAGGCCAGGAGCCGTGCAGCACCTGTAGGAGGTGGCAGGGGCTGAGCAGGACCCATGTGCCCGTGCTCAGCGTCCCCTCCAGCCAACTTGGCCCCTCCCTCATGGCCCTCCCACCTCATTTATCACAGGGATGGGTTTCTCAGAAAGAAGCATGGGCCTGGCATGGTGGCTCACGCCTGTCATCCCAGCACTTTGGGAGGCCGAGGCAGGTGGATCACCTGAGGTCGGGAGTTTGAGAACAGCCTGACCAACATGGAGAAAACCCATCTCTACTAAAAAAAATTAGCTGGGCATGGTAGCACATGCCTGTAATCCCAGCTACTCGGGAGGCTGAGGCAGGAGAATCGCTTGAACCTGGGAGGCAGAGGTTGCAGTGAGCCGAGTTCGTGCCATTGCACTCCAGCCTGGGTGACAAGAGTAAAACTCTGTCTCAAAAAAAAAAAAAAAGAAAAAAAAGCATGGTCACGGGGGATGTCTGGGCCTCTGATGGCTCCATGTCTGTCACCTGTTGACCTACCTAGCTCCTGGGGTGATGTGCCTGACCTGGGTGCGGCACTCACCTTGATGTTGATGCCATGGGCAGTCAGGTCCTGGCGCAGGGTGTCGCATGCCTCCAGCAGGGGCTGCCTCTCTAGGAGCTGCTGCCGTCGGGCCTCCCCCGTGGCCTCGGGCATGGCCAGCGCAAACTGCCGGACCTTCTGCCGGAACCGCACCAGCTCCTCCACCACACTACGCAAGGTGGCCTCGCTGCCGTCTCCTGAAACACACTGAAGCCGGCAGGGCACGGTTACATCCCCCGGAGACTGTGGACACCCCAGGTGGTTGGGCTCTGGGCTGAGACCCACCCAGCCCTGGGCTTCCCTGATTGCCTACAGCTGGGCCTCTTTCTGGGCCTGGCAGGGCTGGGTACAGCCCACAAGCGCTGGGCTCTGGGCAAGTCTCCACTCTCAACTCTGAGCATCTGTCATCAAGCAAGGCTGACTGATGCTCACTTGGGAGTGAGAAGGATGGGCTGGGGCTGCACACCACCCTGCCCTGAACACAAGCGCTCCCTGGGTTCCAGACCCCACACAAGTGTGGCCGAGGTATCAGGAGCAACCTGAGGATGAGGCTGGGGGCAGCGGCTGAGCGCTTGCAGATGTGTTTCGGCAAATGGTCTGAGAGTCACAGCCTCGGGTGCTGAGGACGGGATTGGGGCAGAAGGCCTGTGTGCTGTCCTCCCACTGAGAAGGGATCCTGGGGCAGTATGGAAGGGGCAGCTGTACCTGTTTGTTAAATTCATGTGTGTAAAATAAGAAACAGACAACCTTATACCTTGGTGTCAAACTACTTAAGTGCATACACCCCTCAGTGCTTCCATGATAAAAGACAAGTTTTGTTATTACAAAAATATGAGCCCAGAGTGGGCCCAGACGTTAGCCCCTGTGGCCGGAGGAAGGAGAATGAGGTATCTTTGACAAGGACTAGGCAGAGCTTGGCCAGATCCCACTTTTCTTACTCAGTACAGACTCTGGAAAGCCACCCTAAAAACGAACATGTACACTGCAAAGACTTGGTCATCTCACACCAGTAGACTCTGACGTGATTGGCAACAGACGCTGGACTGCCAGAAAGAGAAACTAAGTCTACCAGGTGATCAGGTATATAAATGAGCCAAACTTGGAAAGGACACTATCGTTCTCTGTTGAGAGCCAGCGAGACGTGTCCAGCCCGGAGCCAGGCCTCCAGCACACCTGCTCGGGCCCCAGTCCCAAGCAGCGGGACCCTGGGGTGCTGGGCAGCTGGTCTAGAGTGGCAGCCTCCGCCCAGGCAGCAGCAGCCGAGCCACACCCCAACAGCCCGAGCGCCTCGTGCTGAGAATTCCCCAAGGGCGTCCAGAGAACGACAGGGACGTTCAGGGATACAGCACCAGTTCCAAGGGGCCTCATCAGCCATATACTCATAAAAAGCGATTGGTGGGGGGACTTAAGAATAAGGCAGGAAACCTCAAATCCGTACTGATGCAATAATCGAGTTCCAGGTGAGCCTGGTAAGGAAGGGGGTATTTTCATAGGATCCAAGTCTCTTTGCAAAAATGCTCGAGTTACAAGGGAAGAGGAGGAATGTGGAGAAGCCTGGCAATGTCCACCTTCACTGTGCAGCCAGGGTGAGCCTCGCTGGGAAGGTGCAGGTGCAACTCGTACCTGTCGGGGGGCTTGTCCTGTCCATAGGAAGCATGCGCCAGGCAAGGGGGCTCAGACCGCCAACTTGCCCTCAAATGGGTCAGGAAAAAATGTGACTGCGGTGTGCCTGTGACTTCTGCACATTCTGAGAGTCTTTCAGCATAAACGTGTGTGCAGAGCTGGCGACACTGTTGCTGAGATGGACTCATCTCTGGCTCTGCGCACGAGTTTGCCAACTGCAGAAGTAGAACTGTGCAATTCCAATTAGTAAGTGTTGGCTCTGAGTGTGTTTATTTTTCCAGGAAAATAACATGTTTTCAAACAGGTAAATAAATTAGTGTGGCATCATAATGATCTATTCCAAGTTAAAAGGGTAAAGGTTATTGTCCCTTTACCCTTTTAGGACAAAAATGGAGAAAATTCCAGAATTAAGCGTTTAAAATAATACGACATACCTGTTGATTGCCCAGAGAAATTCCAACAGTTTCAAAAAACTGTTCAAAGTAAGAGATGATGGCACCAAACACAGCAGGACTTCTCGGCACTCCAGGTTCCTGTAAGAGATCATGCCGCAGAATCTCCTTAAAAGCAGTCTTGATGGCAGTGGGCAAATGGAATTCAATGTCAAAAGACAAAGGCTTCAGCAGGTCACCAGTCTGGCCTTTCTCCTGGCTTCTATGGAGGGAGGACACAGCTCTGGCATCGGCTGCCTCACTGCAGACCATACAACTATAGGTGCATGAGGAATCTCTTGTGCCTCAGTTTACCCACCAGTCATGTGGGTGGTGACTAGCCCATCAGGCTTTGCAGGTAAAGCATGACTGTGGAGTATGGCAGGCGGCGCATGGTAGGTGGAGGCTGAGTGGGCACTGGGCTGGGTTTCTCAGAAAACAAGGAAATCCTGGCATGTGGCTCACGTCAGTCACCAAGCACAGAGACCCGTGTGACACTAGCCTTAGTTCACAGGTACCCCAAAATTGCAAAGGTTAGGAAGGAAAAGCGCAGGCGCCAGCCTCTTTACTTGTCCCTGCCCCTTGCCACAAGAGGCCCCTATTGCCCTAGACCTGGGCCAGCCTGGTAGTGCCGGCAGTGTGCAGTGTGCGGGCACACGGCTGAGGAGGAGGAGCTCCCGTGCAGGAGCAGCCTGGCCGGGACCTGCCCCAGCCTGGCCTGGCTGCCTTCAGTGTGGGGCAGCCTGTTCCTGCACCCAGCTGTGACTCAAATGCCCGCTCCCCTCAGAGGTAAGCCCTACACGTCTGCAGTATTTGAACCAAAGGCACCTGGCACAGGCACATGGCACCCTGCCCCACCTGCTGATGCTCTGAAACCCAACACTGCACGCAGCCAGGGATGGAGACCTCCACAGAGATGCTCAGCTAGCAGAGGACGTGGCCAGAACTCACAGGTGTTTCCAGAGATGGGAGAGGCACGAATGGCCTCGGCTTCCCAGGTCATGAAAGGTCACAGGGCTCCTGACACTGCGCCTCCCAGAGCCTGGCAGAGGAAACCCTGAGAAGTGCAGGAACCAAAGCCTGCCGCCGCCTCCACGGTCTTTGTCCCACCCCCCCAAACGCTTTCAGTGACTCTCAGGTCCAGGCTGAGACCCCTGGGTGCTTGGTGTGGTCATCACACTGGGGTGCAGACTGCATAACAGTGCATTGGGGTAAATGGGTCTTTCCTTTAAAAGTTCCCCACAAAAGCTCTCTGGGAAAGTGCCATGGATGCAGTGGGGACATGAAATGTGTCCCCTGAGGATCACGCACACATAATTTCTTAGCTTCAGGGGCTCCTGAGAGCTTGTTCTCCAGGTGGCCCTGAGGCCTGGGACGGTCAAGCCCCAAGCTGGGTGCCATCCCGTGTCAGCGGCAGACTCGGGTTCCACGAGTTCCTCCACACAAGCTGCGGGAGGCAAAATCAGCAGAGAGCCCGCCCAGCCGACATGAGAAAAACCCACCAGAGGACCCGACCCATGCCCCTGGCAGCGGGACCGTGAGGCCACCTGCTCGTTGAGCTACCTTCGAGGCCGCCCTGAGCTGTCCGTTCCCGTGGCGCGCAAGGCCCAGGATGGCATTAACTACCCTGGGTGTGTCAAAGTCATCTGCCAGGGCCTCCTTCACGGCCCTCTTGGTGCTGGTGAGCCTGGGGGAAGAGGAGAGAAATAGTCGCGGCAGAGGGAGCCCCACCCTCCCCAGGAGGCCCCCATGCCAGTCCTTCCCCAGGGAGAGACGCTGGGGGCTCTAATTTGGGGACTCTGTCTAGGTCATATTCCCAGACTTGTGAGTTCCTGAGTAGCAGAAACTTAATTACATAACATCAACTGCAAACTGTCATGTTACCCCAAGAAAAAGTCCCAGAGCAGAGGTCACCTGTGACACTTGTATTTTAACACACAAGATACACGTGGGCATTTTCATGATGGTTTTAAAAATCAATAGACATTGAGGGGAGTGGCAGGGAAGACTCGGTGGGGGATAGACGGCATGGCCGACCACTCTCAGAGAGGTTGGGGAGGCCCGGCCCAGGGCTCCTGGATCTCAGCCTCCCGTGGCCACTGGCAGCCTGCCCTGCCGAAGCGGCAGGGGTGGGTTGTCACCAAGACCATCTGGAAGACTCTGCACACCGGGATGAATGTGCAGTACTGCCCAGGACACCCGTGGGTGGGGAGTGGAGGCGATGCTGTGGGCCCAGGCCTGTGTGTTTTACAGCTTTTGGCTCCTCATGGTCAGGACCGGGAGGGATGAGCAGCTCTGCTCCTCGCACAGGGAATCCAAGCCCAAAGCCACTCTGAGCAGGGGTCTCAGAGCCCGAGGGCCCCAGGCACACTTCCTGCCCAGTACCCTGTCTCCCTGGGATGTCTCGGGAGCCCCTGACCCTGTACCTCCTGCCCAGCAACCAGTCTCCTGGGGCCTCTCTGCAAAGTCCCTGCCCTAAACCTCCTGGCCAGCGCCCTGTCTCCTGGGGGCCGCTCTTCCCCTTCAGGAGCCCACCAGCAGCACCTAGCAGGCCGCAGGAGGGGCGCCACGCCGGGTGCTGAGCGGGTCTCTTACCTCTCCCACAGCATCACTTCTCTGACAGAGCCGCAGGCCATCTGCCCCTTCATGTAGGCACGTGCGTCCTCCAGGAAAGAGCCCAGCCCCAGGAGCTGCTGCTGGGCTTGGAGCATGGCGCTGTCGCTGTAGTCGATGGCTGAGGAGGAAGAGATGGTCCCTGAGGTGGTGCCCACCATGCTGTGCCCCTGCCCTCGTCCAGCAGAATCACAGTGTTCTCTGAGGGCACTGCCACCCGGGGACCACATGGAGAGCGGGACATGCGGCCCTCACTGCCCTCCAGTGACCGCGAGTCCCTAGGCCCACTGGACACAGACCACAGGGTCCGTCCCAGCTCAGTGTCACCTGCCCTAGGAGAACAAGGTGGCGGTGGAGAAATGCTCCCACTGCTTCCAGCTGAGAGGCGCATTTCCAGTGACGGATGGATGGAGGTGCGGATCAACAGCTGGCTCTGGAAAGAGGGAACCCCACCCTGGGGTCAGAGGCACCTCTAGGGAAGGCGCCCCCAGGGAAAGTGCCCGTGTGTGATGGGACGGCCCAAAGCGGGAGGGAGGAGCAGTCCCCAGACCCAGCTTTAGAGTCTGTGGGTGTCGCTTAGGCCACCTGGATGAGGGGCCAGTGTTTCTGTTTACATCTTCATTTCTGGTGGCTTCTAGTCTACTGCATTCTGATGGGTGAGACACAACAGGAATGAATCGCTTCACAGTGATCACACATCCTTGGGTATCAGCAGAGCCAGCCACACATTTCTAAAACCTTCTTTTCGTTTCTGTGCCTACTCTGCTTCCCAGACTGTCTGAGGCCACAGTCCGTGCTTTTGAGGAGCGCTGCTTCAAAAAGCTCTTTGAAAACCACAGGAATAGAAAGAGCCTATCTGGACACATATGCCGAAAATTACATCCTAACATGCCTACAAGTCCTGATTTCAAAACGAGAATTCCAAAGTCAGACACGGCTTCAAGCTGGAAGCAACACAGTGAAAATCTCCCCCAGGGTTGTCTAATATCTCACTTAACATTTTTCCTTTTTTTCCAAATTCACTTTCAGTGTTTGCTTTGAATAGCTTGACAGAAGAGAAAAAGCCAGAAACCCACAAAGCGATCTAACAACATTTAAAATGCATGGGAGGCTGTTAGAATAAGATTACCATTAATGACACAGCACGATGAGGCATCCAGATGGGCAGGGGCAGACAGATGTCCAGCATGGAGACGCCCTCTGCCTCAAAGTCAAGGACAGCTGCACTCCTCCAACAAGGGTTCTGCTCTACAGATGGGAGACGCCTCTCCAAAGTGTCAGCACAGCACAGACGGCACGGGAATGCCACCACTGTCACCCTCCATCTTCCCAAAGGTGAAGAAAGCATGTCTGGGAGGATCCTGAACTTCCACACCACTTGCGGCGGGAAGCTCAGACAGCAAGCGACGGCCCAGCTCCTCATGGACACCTCTGACCTCGAGGGGGCATCGTGCCCACCATGGGGATCCACGTCCTGCTAACCTTGTGTTCCTAGAAATCCCTCACCGGCAGATCGGTGCCTCCTGAATCCCACCCGAAATTCCCACTGGGAATGTGTTCCTGAAAGAGCTGCCCAGGCTTGAAAAAGCTGCTTTTCAGACCAAACTTCATATTCAAAGCTCAAAAGGAACTGCACACGATTAGGACAGTCACACAAGGCGCTGCCCCTAATCCTGCCACAATCTGCGAGAAGAAGGGGGGCAGGGGCCTCTGAGGGCAAAGAGCCCCTGGGAAGGGATCCACGGGGAACAGCTTTGAAAGGACCACAGCCCCCAGCCACAAGGGGAACAAGCACAAGCCGGGGAGAAAGCTCTGCACTTGCACACGGGATTCATCCCCACCGCCTCTGCCCGTTTCCAGCAACACGGAGCCAGGCAGAAACAGTTTCTCCAGCCCATTCGCCTCCCGACTCTTCCTCTCACGGCATGGCTGGTCTGTGTTCATCGTGTGTAAGCGCACACCACACACACATGCTGCACAAGGTCAGGTGAGCACAAGGCTGATGACACTTCCCTCTCAGGCTCGCGCGCCTGTGAGCACAGGTCCCCTAGGCTGATGCACTGCAGTTCCACCCAGGGGACAGGTTCAGACCACATCTCAGAAAACCTGAACTTGCAGTAGAAAGCCAACATGGTGTCGAAGCCAGGATAAAGACATGGCCCAAGGTAGCCTTTCGGTGGTCAAACGTGCAGGTGTCTGTGTGCCCCACTCAAGTTGACAAGAGCTGCAGGCCGGGTGGAGCCTGTGCCAGGCTGTGGCCCAGGTGAGATTCTGCAGGCACAGCACAGGGGAGGGAGACGGATGGGACCAGCCCAAGGGCTCACCCAAACCCGGCAAAGCTTTGTGTGTGACATAAAGATAAAATCTATCTGGCCAGATAGACTCACCCCGTGGGGGAATGAGAATCCACTATGTTTTGGCTGCATGTCCCCACCCCCATCGTCTTCATTAAAAAGGTGAAATCATCAATTGAGAGCAAGAGTGCTATGTAGGAGGACAAGAAGCGGGAGAGCGAGGTGGTGTGGCAACAGCAGTGGCCCAGGGACACGCCAGTGTCAACGGAGCAGACGGGACACCAGAGGCCAGAAGGGCAGCAACCCTCGCTCACCAGCAAGGAACTGTCACCATCTCCAGAGGACACCGGCCCTGCTCCTGCAGCACTAGCCATACACTGGGACCTTACTGCCAGTTACGTGGTCAAGCCAGGCAGGCAGTGCCACTGTCCCCAGCCCTCACCCGTCACCAGGGATCCAGCTCTGGATAACAACTTTTTTTTCTGAGACAGGATCTTGCTCTGTCACCCAGGCTGGAGTGCAGTGGTGCTTTCTCGGCTCACTGTAACCTCCACCTCCTGGGTTCAAGTGATTCTCCTGCCTCAGCCTCCCAAGTAGCTGAGATTATAGATGCCTGCCACCAAGCCAATTTTTTGTATTTTTTTCAGATGGAGTCTTGCTCAGCCGCCCAGACTAGAGTGCAGTGGCATGATCATGGCTCACTGCAGCTCTGCCTCCCAGGCTCAAGCAATTCTCTTGCCTCACCCTCCTGAATAGCTGGAATTATAGGCACACATCGCCATGCCTGGCTAATTTTTGTATTTTTAGTAGAGATGGGGTTTTACCATGTTGGCCAAACTGGTCTCGAACTCCTGACATCAAGTGATCCACCTGCCTCAGCCTCCCAAAGTGTTGAGATTAGGGGCACGAGCCATTGCGCCAGGCCTTTTGTATTTTTTGTAGAGACGAGATCTTGCTATGTTGCCCAGGCGGGTCTCAAACTCCTGAACTCAAAACATCTGCCAGCCTTGGCCTCCCAAAGTGCTGGGATCATACACGTGAGCCACCATGCCAGGCCAGTGCTAGACAACTCCTGGCCAAAAGCCTAGCCTGGGGCAGCAACAAAATCGTGCAGTATGGGAGGAACCGACACCACCCATCCAGGAGGCCTGGCTCTGCTACACACTGTTCAGGGAAGCGCTGTCCCTGGGCGGGACAGGCAGGGTCACGTTTGAGGGCTCCCATGTTCAGGGGCCGTGCCAGGCTGGCCCCTTCCAATTTCCCAGTTCACAGAGCAGGAAGCCGACGTGCTGCGGGTTCACGACTTGTCCAGACCCACAGAGAAGGAGTGGAGAGGACTCGAGCTTGACGAGGAAGCCCACATCCACTACGGGCTGAGCCTGGACCAGCGCTGGGATCCCTCGTCCTCTGGGTTCACTCTCAACCTGAACCTCCAGGCCCCAGCAGCTGCACTCACAAGGTTCTGCCTGTTCTCTGGCCTGCATTTGGCTGTTCTCAGTCCTGTCGGAGTGACTGTCTCCGAGCGGGGGAGGAGTCCACTCCGCGTGCGCCCGGCTCACCTGAGCGGTAGCTGCTCCGCAGGCAGAAGAACCGGAAGACGTCAGGGGAAAAGGTCTTCAGAAAGTCCTGGTAAAGCGAGAGACAGGCAGTCACAAGGCTTTGCTTTTACGCTTTGCACTGTTCAGAGAATATGTTATTTACTACAATTACATGAGTTACCTCTACTTATCAAGAAATCAGGAATCTTGATGAAAATGAGCCCTCCAAACTCACAATTACCACCTGTTTCCTGGTGATTTCCTTCCTCACTGAACTTTCCATGTTCGATCTCAGTATTTGTGGAAAGAGCAAGAGGAGAAAGCTGGTTTGCCTGAAATTCCCCACCTGCGCAGGCTCCGGGAGGAGTGTCCTGTGCTCAGCCTGGGCTCTCTTTCTACACGACAGGGACGTGGGACAGACAGCATGGAGGGATGCTGTGCTCAGGAAGAGACCAGGTAGGCGGCGGGAGGCACACTAGCTCTGGCTGCCTGCAGGCCCCCAGGAGAAGCCTGCAGTTAACCTCAGACCCAGCTGACCTCCGGCTCAGTCCAGCCAAGGGGTGACAGCCTCACTCATCCTATTTGGTGGCACAGTTCTCGTAAACACTGAGTTTAAAGCATGTGCTCAGTCTGTCTCTTGAAGACTAAACCGCCCTGCCTCTGATTAAACATAAGTAAAACTCACAACCCAACCAGTATGGTTCTATAGATCATTTAGAAAACGTCTGTCCAGAAAGAAGTGGAGCTTTCTGCATGAGGAGGCTTAGGAGAGGTCATTAGAGGCACTGCAAAAGCAGCACAGCACTCGGCAAAGCCTCCTGTGGGGCGCTCAGGGCTCAGCTCTGGCAGCTACTTTCAAGAGATGAGATGAGACTCAGGGTGGGGGAGAGAAGGAAGAGGGCTCTGCCCAGCTTGGGCTTCCAGCGTGGCCCGAAGAAAGCAAGCTGAGCTCTGGCTGCACCCCTGGCGAGGGACGCGCTCCAACGGGAGCCCGAGTGGCTCGCTGCCTGGATCAGCAGCACATGCTGCCAGCTCTGACCAAAGCCCCCTTTCCTGCCACCACCTCAGAAGACAGAACTGGCTCACCCCATGCCCGTCCTCTGTGCAGGAAGCTGTCCCCGGCCTTGCTGGAGTGAGGACTGCGTTTCCGCCTCCCTCGGGTAAACCTGATCCCCTCATCTCTAGGCTGATGGGCAGCAACACAAGCCCACAGCACAGGGGCTGACTCCAGCCTGCAGTCTGCGCCCGCTCGCCAGAGCTCGGACACCCGCGTCCTCCGCAGCGTGGTCGTGGGAGCACAGAGCTGCCGGCCGGGGAGAGTGAGCTGGAGACGGCGGAGTCCAGCTCAAAATACTGTATCTCAACACATGGTATTTTATAAGGCATGAAAGACCGGCCTAAAGCCATGCTGCTCAACAACCGTACTGAGAGCAAAACAAATGCAACCGAAGAGGTCTTGGGGTAGAAGGGGCTGTCCCTGCGGCAGGCTGCAGCGGCCTCGCCCACCCACACGGTAGGAAGGAGGGGACTCCCTGGACTGCTGAGCTGGAAGGAGGAGGACACTGCTCCACCTGCCTCCGGGGCTCATTCCCTTCAGAGGACTGAGCGGGTCTGGTCTGCTTTCCACCAGGAAGGAGGTCAGCCCCCACCGCACAGCCCAACCCGTCTGCCTGAGCCTGCGGCAGTCAGAGGCATTCTCATGTGGGGTGGCATGAGAAAGCTGCTGGGCCAATCCCCTAACACAGGGGCGCTCAACCTGGGGTCCACAGACCTCCTAGGGGCCCACAGAGAGAAGGTGGGCGGGCGGGGAGATCTGTGAACTGGGATGGCTAAACAGTTATGTGTTTATTTCTGCCGGCCTTGCACTAAAATGGGCATTTCCTTCGATGGTCAGTGCAGGCAGCAAACACATCGGGAAGCACAGAGCCTGGCACGGTGGCCACAGCCGTCACAGGTGACCCCTCAGGAATGACATCACACACCACGAATCACGAAGCACAGTGCCTGGCGTGGTGGCCACAGCCGTCACAGATGACCCTGCAGGGATGACATCACACGCCACGAATCACGAAGCACAGTGCCTGGCGCGGTGGCCACAGCCGTCACAGGTGACCCCTCAGGGATGACACCACACGCCACGAATCACGAGAGGACGGCAGCAATCAGACCCCACCCACACTGAGCTAACCACTGAGTCAAGCAGAGCACATGCTCCTCTACTTCAGTATCATCGACGGCCTTTGGGATCCTATGTATTTTATTTTATGTATTTAAAGCAAATTGTAAGGCTGGGTCCAGACTTCACCAGGCAGCCACAGGGGCCCGGGGTGGGGAGGGGGGCTGGGGGGTGTGTGAGCACGTGTGTGTGAAGAGCCCCTGTCCAATCCAACAGTAATTCATCAGTAATCACACTGGAATTCAATTTCCGTCTGTCCATCTCCTGGGTGCTCCTTCCCAACTTGTGAAAAAAGCGGTATTATTCCTGGGTCCTCTAATTCGCAACTCACAGGCTCACTCGAGACCCTCCCTCACCCAAGGTGTTGTGGTTCCAATTAACTCGCACAGCCACGTCCTGCTGGTTTCGGTTCAGGCTGCGCCCTATTTAGGTCTCCACGTTTCGGTGTGGAAACACCACTCCACATGCAGGCTCAATGCTCTCTACTTCATTCCAAAAAGGATTTCACCTGGCCTTCTTTCAAAGGGGTTTTCCTCTCATTCAGAATGGAAACACATGCAGAATTAGCCTCAATGTGCTTTACAAATCTAATAGTTCTTTGAAACCCCAACAACATTAAAGGCTTATGTTCCCTGCTCTTGGGAGACAGGTGCTACTGCAGCGAGCTACAGTAGTTCTAACAGAAATCTGGAATCTAATCTTTCTAGAGCATTGAGTTTCTATGGACTGTTTCCTAATAATACAGAAAGCGGAAACATATAACTTCTTCATTACACAGTATTCTGACAATGATGTGAAAACTCTTGAATGCTGTGGGTGCTCATGCACATTAATTTTTTAGCGTGTTCCTGCTCTGTGCCGGCTGATATCAGCAAGTTTCTGCACTACTCTGGTTCCACCGTGCAACCTGCCACGGCTACCTGAGAGGCAAAATGTGGCTACGGCAGGGTAAGCTCGCGCTGGAACTCTCCAGGAGGTAAGCAAACTCCCAGAGCCCAGGCCAGAGGACCGATCGGCCTTCAGGTGGGGACGGTAACAAGCCATGTGAGCCCCAGTGAGCTCACGAGGTCACAGGATGCACACTCCCAGGGAGCCCGCTGGGTGCACATGCCAGCTGCCAGCTGCCGAGGAACTTCGTATGATGCCAGCGCTGCACACACCCCTGGAGCCCCTGGGCAGAAGCGGGCGCCAGAGCCTCTCTACTGGGCTAGGCCCTAGCTTGCTTTGAGAGGTACAGTAACCAGAAAGCAGGTTTTAAACCATCATCTGAGCTCCAGGGTTGAGCTCCTTCTACGTGGACCGTGGCCTCGATTACGCAGAAAGCACTGGGTTTCCACCCAGGCTACTCTAAAGGTCTATCTCCAAGACAAAGAGGACCGGCAGGAAAAGGGTCTTACACTAGAAACCAGGAATGTGGCATGTGTTTTTCAGATATAGGGCAATAACTTAACATCCCCAAGGAACTATGGGCTGAGGGTAGGTGTGAGCTACCAAAAATATAAAAGAAAAATCATCAGTAAATACATATAGACAAATCAACACAGCAAATAGACAAAGGCATGGAAATTTAAAATCCAGTTGTCGTTCTTCACAAATTAACAAGAAAAATGGGCCAGGTGCCGTGGGTCACCCCTGTAATCCCAGCACTTTGTGAAGCTAAGGCAGGAGGATTGCCTGAACCCAGGAGTTTGAGACCAGCCTGGGCAACACAGTGAGACTTCGTCTCTACAAAAAATACAAAATTAGCAGGTGTGGTAGTGCACGCTTCTGGTCCCAGCTCCTCGGAAGGCTGAAGTGAGAGGTTTGCTGGAGCCCACAAGTTTCAGGTTGCAGTGAGCTGGGACTGCACCAGGTGCCTGGGTGACAGTGAAACCCTCTCTCAAAAAAAAAAAAAAAGAAAAGAAAAAAATGAAAAAAGGTAACCTGATTACAATTCTAATTTGATGCTGGAGAGACCTGGGAAACATATTTTCATCTACTGCCATTGGGAATGTAAATGACACTCGATAAAATCACCAGGGGCTGTGTCCAAAACACTCTGAATGTGCCTGTATCTTCTGATGTGTGATTTCTACCTCAAGGCACTTTTCTCAAGTCACTAATCATTAGATGTGCACAGATATTTAGCTAAAGGATATTCATCACAGCACTGTAGCCTGCAGAGTACAGGTCTCACAAACAAGTCCAACAACAGGGAAATAAAATCGTGGTGCCTCACTGCCACGAGCCACTAAGTAGCCGCTAGATTAGAAATAATGGAGACATGGCAATGTCTGTGAAAATTTAAAATGCACATACCCTAGTGGAAAATGCAGTGGGATTTAAATGACCATTAATAGGGGATTCTTTAAATTAAGCTGCACCCACACACTGGACTACTCAGCCATTCGAAAGAATGAACCAACTCCACACGGTGGAAAACCGACTGAGGTCAAGAGATGAATCAAGCAAGCGCAAAACGACACCTCTGTGTGCGAAGAGAAAATGAGAAGCACAGCTATGGGGAGATGTGTGAACACACACCTGCTCCGAAAAAACCAACCGCTGCTTCAGGAGAGAAGCCGGGCAACAGTGAATGTGGTCAGGCAGGAGGCCCGCTTTCCTTACTTAGTACCTTTGAATTTTTCTACCGTTTGCTTCTCTGTCTTGTCTGCAGTTTCCAAACTGTCTGCAATTAAACCCATCACGTCTATAATCAAATTAAAACCTCACTTAAATTGTTAGGGAAAAGGCGGCACGCATACGACACTGCCTCATGAATGAGACAGAGAAAGGTTTATGCATATTGGCCTATCGTGTACAACGGAACACAAGAAGGTGAATCCAAAACAGAGAACACAACTGTGGCTGCTGGGGAGGGAATGGGTGCAGGCAGGCACCAGGCCGGCCTTCTCCATGCTCTCTTTAGTGTTAATGCTGAACCCTGCAAATGTTTCACAGATATGACAAAGAAAAGCAAATTGGGGCCGGATGCAGTGGCTCACACCTGTAATCCCAGCACTTTGGGAGGCCGAGGCAGGTGGACCTGAGGTCAGGAGTTCAAAACCAGCCTGGCCAACATAGTGAAACCCTATCTCTACTAAAAATACAAAAATTAGCTGGGTGTGGTGGTGTGGGCCTGTAATCCCAGCTACTTGGGAGGCTGAGGCACGAGAATCGCTTGAACCTGGGAGGTGGAGGTTGCAGTCAGTTGAGATCACACTAATGCACTACAGCCTGGGTGACAGAGCAACACTCTCTCTCAAAAAAAGACAAAACAAAACAAAAAGTAAATTGGAAAGGGGAAGAGAGAGACCATCACACCAGAAACAAACAGAACAAGTGAACCTCTTGTGTTAATGAAAGGAGATCATTACATGCTGCGAGTATATGTTCAGACCACAGAGCTTTAGTGGGATGCAGTCTACAAGAAAAAGAAATTTAAGTGCAGAACAGGCAAATCACAGAAACAGAAAGTTGTCAGGGGCTGGGAGGAGGTGGGAGTGAAAAGTGACAGCCCATGGGTGTGGCATTTCTTTTGAGGTGATAAAAACGTTCTTAGATAGTGATGGTTTCACAACTGTGAATATCCTACAAACCACTAAGCAGCACAATTTAAAAGGGTGACTTATGTAGTATCTGTGTTGTATTTCAATAAAGCTATAAGTTTAAAAAGAAAAAGAAGCCTTAAGTTTTACTCAATAGTTTTAACAGCAATATTGGTATTAAGTTTTTAAATTTATTTTGTATTTTAAGATAAAACAAAAAGTTGATATGCTCTTATAAGATGTTTACTGTAAGAGAGGAAAATAGCTAAAACTAAAAAGCCCTGTGATATTAACTTTTATTTGGATATATCAAAAGTAACCCAAATAATGAATCTATTTTGTATGTACAGGTTTATCTTCCTCTCCCCTAGCTCTGACCCCTGACAAAGCCTAGATGCAGTGTCACTCTGGTAGCGATCAACATCGCAGTGCCCAAATCTTGCCTTCAAAATCCCATTTCCCCTCAAAAGCAGGGAGGCTGCTTAGAGAAACAGCAGGTCTGGGTAGGAAAGCAAAAGGCAGGCAGGTGCAGGAGGGCACAAGAGAGGCCAAGGGGCCTGTCCCTGGGGGGCTGGAGCCAATCAGAAGAACCCTCCCTGGCTAAATCCAGGATGATTTCAACGCCAAAAAGATAACGACTGAATTGACAATACACTAAATAAATATAAATCATTGACTCTGTCTACTACAAAAAGAAAGACAAAACCCTTTTCTTTAAGAGGAATGCCAACTAATAAATGTAAAAGAGGGAACAATTAGACAGTCATGACTTTGCAATAACCAATGAAATACATGATCAAAGTGAAGCCTCTAAAACCATAGGGTGGAAGCTTATTAGGGTACAAAACACCACACAGCATGCCACTGCTCAGATGCTTAATATTCATAAGAAGAAAATAAACTCTGCAGTAGAGGGATCTGGTAGTCATTCCTTAACAAATGGTAAAACTCACCATCATGAATCATAGGACAACCTGACCTTGCAGCCCCCAGGCAATGCACTGTGAGTTCACAGCATCCACTACAATGTATTCCTGCCAAAAAGCTTCTACCTGGGTCAAACTGACCCTTTAACCCTCACTTCCAGTGAAAGGAACTACAGGAGATAGAAGAATAAGCTAAATGACACCACAACGAAACAGACAAATCTAAAATGTGGAATGTTCAACAAGACAAGTGGCCCAATCTATTCAAAAAGTCAACACCACAGGGAAAACAAAAGTAGATACTGCTGTAGATTAGATAAGAAACCTAGAAAGAACAATGAAATATAATTCAGCCTAAAGGAAGGAAATTTTGACCTGGACTATAACATAGGTAAATCTTGAGAACACCATGCTAACTGAAATAAGCCAGTCACAAAAGGACAATTACTATATGATTCCACTTACATGAGATCTAGAGCAGCCAAAATCATGGAAACAGAAAGTAGAAGGGTTGTTGCCAACGCCTGGGGAAAGGGGAAATGGGAAGTTGTTCAATGAGTCCACAGTTTTGGTTTTACAAGATGAAAAAATTCTAGAGATCTGTTGCATAACAATGTGAACATATTAACACTACTGAACTGAATGGTTAAGACGATAACTTTTATGCTATGTGGTTTCTTTAACCACATTAAAAAAAAACTAAAAAGACACAACACACAAATGCAACACATGAACCTTGTGTCTCAGGGGAGCTCAAGGAGGGGCAGATTTAAGGGAATGGACAGTTGGTGGAGCAGTCAGAACACGCACAACACATACTAAGTTCCATGGGTGTGGTTCATGGAGCCCTAAAACAATTACAACAGTAACATCAGAGATCACTGATCACAGATCACCATAACAGATTTAATAACGAGAAACTTTGAAACATTGCAAGAATTACCCAAATATGACACACAGAAACGAAGTGAGAACATGCTGTTGGCAAAATCATGCCAACAGACTTGCTTGGTGCAGGGCTGCCACAAACCTTCAATCTGTAAAGACACGGCATCTGCGAAGTGTGGTAAAGTGAAGCTCAATAAAGCAAGGTCCCTGCAGTGGCTGGGCTCTGACCCCCCCCGTGTCATGCAACCCTGTGGCCAGGCTCCAACCCCACTCTGCGTCATGCAACCCCGTGGCCAGGCTCCGACCCCCCTCTGCATCATGTAACCCCGTGGCCGGTTTGGGACCCCCTCTGCATCATGCAACCCCGTGGCTGGGCTCTGACGCCCCTCTGTGTCATGCAACCCTGTGGCTGGGCTCCGACCCCACTCTGCGTCATGCAACCCCATGGCCAGTTTGGGAGTCCCTCTGCGTCATGCAACCCCATGGCCAGTTTGGGACTCCCTCTGCGTCATGCAACCCCATGGCCAGTTTGGGACTCCCTCTGCGTCATGCAACCCCGTGGCCGGGCTCCGACGCCACTCTGCGTCATGCAACCGCCGTGTTCCACCTCTACGTGTGCTGTGCACGCGCTAACACATTTCTCCTCTCTTGATGATCTGTCTTTGGCCAGTCTAATTTAGTAATTAATTTAGGCTCCCTGGTGAGAGAATCTAAGCCGGGTAGGGGGAAAAGATCCTACACAGCAAATACAGCAAAATAATCACAACCATTGAATCTGGGTGCAGCCGTAGTGACGTTTCTTTCCACTTTTCTGTAGGTTTGAAATTCTGCCCGGGATAAAGTGGAAAAAGTCTACGTAAGGAAACTACATACAAATTATTTTGTGAGGAGCAGTCCCTGTTGGTTTATCCTAAATCTGATGGGTACAGCTTTCACTGGTTTGCTGTTTAGGTGGTGAGATCTGGATACTATTCTTCTCCATTTATTTTGCAATTAAATTAAATCTGGCTTTAAAGACAGGCCAGAAGACAAAGGAGGAGCTCAAACTATGTCAGCCAGAGCCCTCCGTGCGTGCGCCTGTTTTCCATTCACACACGGAAATTCCCATTCCATGTGTCAGCACCACAGCACGATGACATTGTTCAGGTTGGTTAAGGATCCAGCCAGCTCTGAGCCTATTAAAGGCAAACAGCAAAACCCAAACAAACCCCAAAGCCACACTAGGAGGCGGCAGTGGATGAGGGAGGGAAGGAAGTTAGCAGATGCACTAAGGGAGAGACAACCATTATAAAAGGAAAAGACAAGGAAGAAGGCGCCAGCCATGAAACCCGGAAAGAGAAAGGTAAGCTCCACCAAGAAGAGACTGTGGAAACCCGCAGGAGGCGCACAGTTGCGAGATTAGGCGGAGAGCCACTTAAGGTGGGAGGGAGGTGAGGCAGGTCTCGTCCTAGGAAAGGGGCCAGAGGGCACTGGGAATGGATTTCTGTGGTTCTCAAATGACACAGAAGCCTCTGAGATGGGTTCCACGAGCTATCAGCACCTCAGAGATACTGTACAAAAAGCACATTACCTTAATAGTAATGTAGTTTTTTAACGATTTGGACATTTTTTCTTCTTTGCCTTTCACATGCAAATGCCCTGAAACAAAAACAAAAGCATTCAGTGTGAGCTGAGTGAGGAGACTCTCTGGCTTCAGGGACACATGGCTTCCCAGGAAACGAATGGGAACCTGCACGTATCCAATGTACAGACCAGTGTATGTTGGTATAAACCTGCCCCCAAATCTTCACCCGTGCTGGGCCTTCTGGGAAGACACAACCTGCCCTTGTTCCATGGTTCAGGGACACAGCCCCACACCAAGGGCAGATGGCAGGGGTGTCCCAGCTGACTCAGAAGCTAAACAAGAACCAGCAACTGTGGTGCCGACAGCGGTATTTCATCTATTTTCCCCTTTCCTATAACTCAGAGATACTGATTTAACAGACAGCATCCGGAGAAAAGACAGAGCTCTCATTTGGCAAATCAGGCACTTGGCGGTGAAGCTTGTTGACCGTCGTCCAAAAACAGAGTGGTGCTTGTGGGTCTCCGAGTGGGAAGAATCAGAGGTTCTGTGCAGCTGTTTTCACAGACTTCGATGACACGGGTATTATTTCATGCCCTGTGTATGTGAAGGACAGGAGGAAAACCAAACCCATTTAAGGAACTCCTAAATCTGACCCTGAAATTCTCCCTGGCCTGTAGCTTTACAAGGCTCATCTCCAAGAGAAGTGCTTTCTGTTTCTAACAGAAGACTGTTCCTCTTTTTCTGACACAACCTCAGATAGCAGTGCTCCAGGCCGGACACGGTGGCTCACACCCGTAATCCCAGCCCTTTGGGAGGCGAAGGCAGAAGGACCGCTTGAGCCCAGGAGTTTGGAGACCAGTCTGGGCAACAAGGCAACACCCGGTCTCTACAAAAAAATTAAAAATTAGCTGGGCGTGGTGGGGCACACCTGCAGTCCCAACATCCCAGCAACTCAGGAGGCTGAGGTGGGAGGATCGCTGAGCCCCGGGAGGTTGGGCCTACAGTGAGCTTTGTTCATGCCACTGCACTCCAGCCTGGGCCAGAGAGACACTCTGCCTCAAAAACAAACAAACAAACAAACAAACTGATTAGACTGTGATTTCCAAAAAAACATATATAACTTTGAATATGTAATTCTATATAACGTGATTACACCAAAACTGATATTTGGAAAATGAAACACATTTGCTAAGGCCTGAATGTTTATGTCCTCCCAAATTCCTGTCTAAATCCTCAGCCCTCAGGTGATGGTAACTGAAGGCAGGGCCTGTGGGAGGTGATAAGGTCACAGGGGGCAGAGCCAGTGTGAATGGAATCAGTGCTCTTATAACAGAGGCCCCTGGAGAGCTGACGGCCATCTACGAAGGGGAAGCAGGCCCTTCCGGGACACCGAATCTGCCAGTGCGCAGACGGAGGCCTTCCAGCCAGCAGAACCAGGAGGAATTCATTGCTGCTGTTCATAAGATGCCCGCTTTTAGTATTTGGCTATAGCAGCCCTAACAGGCTGGGATGGCGTCTGCCCACGTAGCTCGTCCATCCACTAGGTACAGGAGAACAGGTGTAACTTCTCCTGTGTCAGGAGACACTGATGTTTTGTTTGGGGCCAAACTAGGATGAAAAAGATTCCTGGGCCGGGCGCGGTGGCTCAAGCCTGTAATCCCAGCACTTTGGGAGGCCGAGATGGGCGGATCACGAGGTCAGGAGATCGAGACCATCCTGACTAATGCGGTGAAACCCCGTCTCTACCAAAAAAACACAAAAAACTAGCCGGGCGAGGTGGCGGGCGCCTGTAGTCCCAGCTACTCGGGAGGCCGAGGCAGGAGAATGGCGTAAACCCGGGAGGCGGAGCTTGCAGTGAGCTGAGATCCGGCCACTGCACTCCAGCCTGGGCAACAGAGCGAGACTCCGTCTCAAAAAAAAAGAAAAAGAAAAAGAAAAAGATTCCTGGTATCTTAATAGGTGGTAAAAAAAAAAAAAAAAAAAAAAATCACTGGAAAAATAGCAACAAAACTTTCCCACGGGGTGCGGTGGCTCACGCCTATAATCCCAGCACTTTGGGAGGCAGAGGTGGTGGATCACCTGAGGTCGGGGGTTTGAGACCAGCCTGGCCAACATGGTGAAACCCTGCTTCTACTAAAAATACAAAAATTAGCCGGGTGTGGTGGTGTGCACCTGTAGTCCCAGCTACTAGGACAGCGGAGGCAAGAGAATTGCTTGAAGCCGGGAGGCAGAGGTTGCGGTGAGCTCAGATAGTGCCACTGCACTCCCAGCCTGGGGGATGGAGCAAGACTGTCTCAACAACAACAACAACAACAACAGCAGCAAATGCTTTCCCATTCCCACATCAGAAGGTGAACACGACCTCCGTTTCTAGACCCCCGCCCTCCTCATTACCTGACAGGGCCAAGCGTCACACAGCTAAGGCTGCCCTTTCTGCCCCCAGCTCCACACTCGCTGAAGGGCTCATGGCAGGTCGTGGTGTCAATGACAAACCCTGACCTACTGAAGGGGATACATCTGCAGACATACATCTGCAGACAGAAACGTGCCTGCGGAGAGAGCAACGCCAGCTCCTCAGATAGTTCAGCAGGTGCTGAACTGAGCCCTGAACGAAGTCACTGAGGAAGTGACTTTGGGGCAATCAGCCTCATCTATTTACTTTCATGAAGAAACCCAAGTGAACCCTGCTGCGGACCAGAAAACCGGAACACTTCTGCATTTAACGTCACCTCACTGTGACATCCTGATTTCCCTTTCAAGGATTTCAAAAACTAGTATTTGTTAATTTTCTGTATTTTAGATGTCAAAGTTTGCATCTCCAAATCCTATCACTACCAAACACACTTTATATTTCTTCATCTCAAATACCTTAGCTGGCCATTCCCAAAAGGTAGTAAGACTAGCTAATTCTGGCCCTGTAAACTTGGAAATATGACTCTTCCAGTGCATCCAGGTGAATTCCAAAACTGCTGGGTTTGAGGTGTTGCTTAACTCATGGTGTAGCATCCACTTCTGAGAGCAGACAGCTGGGGTTCATCAATGAGGGGTTTGAACAGTGGAAGAAAAGGCAATGATTTTAGATGATGGCAGAGATGTCTAGTGACAATATTATAGCTTCAGAAAGGAGTGTTCATAATTATCATTACATTGTACTACTTGAAGTTCCTTCCTAATAGATTTACTTGAAAGAAACATATATAGAACAGCATTGCCAAACATTTTCCATATTCTAGTCAGTTCCAGAAAGGTATAATCATTGCTGCAATCCAAGGAATTTCATGTCCAAATGATTGAAACTCAAAAATAATTTAAGAGGCAAATCCATTTCTTGACCTATTATGTATTTCCAAATGTAGCTGTTCCGCCGACAAAGGCAGAACTGCCAGCATTGAAACAGAACAAATTAAATCTGAAGTTAGTACTTACCAGAATGCAGAAAATAATTTCCCCACTGCTCGCACTGATGAAAGACTTCACACTGTGCAATTTCGTTTTCATGATGTGGAAAAGCTAAATCTATCCCACCTGAATGGATATCCAGTTGACTTCCAAATACCATACTGCAAGACACAGTACAAAGTAGTGAATTCATCCAGTCAAGCAGCACATTTTCTTCTAACCTCAACTATTGACTCCTTCCAGCCTTTTTAATTCAATGAATAAATGAATCGCAGTTTTAAATCAATTTGCATGATAATTTAACTGATTCAAATGAAAACTGAAATCCTGTCATCACAAACCCATAATTCATGACTTTTCATCCTAGTAAAGGGACATTCTTTCGGCTCCAGGTTCGTTCTTTTCTTCTGTTTTCTTTCTTTCTTTTCTTTGCTTTCTTTCTCTATTTTTTTAACTCAAAAAATTACCTTTACTTACTTTCTTTATTTTATTTATTTATTTATTTTTGAGACGGAGTCTCGCTCTGTCGCCCAGGCTGGAGTGCAGCGGTGTGATCTCAGCTCACTGCAAGCTCCGCCTCCCGGGTTCCCGCCATTCTCCTGCCTCAGCCTCCCTAGTAGCTGAGACTACAGGAGCCTGCCACCGTGCCCGGCTAATTTTTTGTATTTTTAGTAGAGATGGGTTTTCACTGTGGTCTCGATCTCCTGACCTCATGATCTGCCTGCCTCGGCCTCCCAAAGTGTTGGGATTACAGGCGTGAGCCACGGCACCTGGCCTACCTTTACTTACTTTCAATAGGTAGAGTTTAGTGACTTTCCAACTTTAACAAGAGATGGAACTATAAAATCATGACAATGTTTCATCTGGCTTTTGCAAAGGTAACTAACAGTCACACAGGAATAACAAGGTAAGAGAGTTCAAAGCAACACATGTTGCCATTTCTCCTACAGCGCTGTGCTATGCATCCACAAAAACCACATTTTTGCAAACCCACACACTAAAATTAATGGGGTTGATGGGGGAAATGAGGCTGGGCCAGCCCAGTTGAAGCTGTGTCCCTGGACCAGCTGCAGAAGCATGGCGATGCAGCAAGCCGGTGGAATTTCTTAAGATGATAGATATAGAAGTTTCTAAGGTGCCAGCACCCCGTGGAGGTCCTTCCTGCTCCCACTGGTCTGGCTCCCCATGCTCGGGGAAGGACTGCACACGCAGGTCTCAAGCCTGAGGAAACGGGCATCACAGAAACACACGTTGTAGCGTGACGTTCTAAGATTTTTACATCTTAGCTATGGGTCGTCTCAGGGTAACTCTAACATTCCCTGCAGTTCAAATGCTGGGAAGGAGACTGTGGGACCAGGACTGGGGAGGAGATGGGAGGGGCCTCATTTGTATCTGGATGGGCAATTCTCCCTTACGAAGATCTGAAGCCAACACAACGACGTGAAAGTTTCACAAGCTGAACGATGGGGCCACAGCCTTTACTATGTTAGTCTCGCTCCTGATATCTACGTTAACACCTATTTTAAAATCAGAGGAGGCTCAGAAGGAACAACAATGGTCTCTTCATTATTTAATCTTTCTACAAAAATAAGGTATTTTACAGTAACATTACATGTCAAACTCACTATATGTTTTCTACCTGCTTTAGAGAAATTATTTGTATCTAAAAAACGGATCTACAACCCAGTTTATATGCCGTGGTCTGCTATTCAGTATTGATAAACACACAGAAGTAGTTAAAGTGTGACTGGTGACTGGACATTTTTAATTTTTTTTAATCAAAAGTCAGGCCCATGCTTCCTGCTAACAACAGAGCTTGAGGTCTGAGGAATGACGGAAGCGTTTCCAGATGAGCCGCATAACCACAGTGCAAGGGGTGGGGGCTTAGCAGCAAAGGGAATCTCTTTCTGGGTCTTAAAGAAGACCCACCAAAATTCAGACAGGCAGGTCGTGGGGCACAAGGCTTCCCTCCTGGTGGAATGAGGTGACCCTACTCTGGGCTGAATACTCACTCAAGCAGTCTGGGAGTCCATGAATGGAGCAAAGTCCTCTCATGGGAGATAATTATCCCCACCCAACCCCCTCTATACCCAACCAGGAAACACATCCCCGATACGATGCCCACAGGTTTCGGGGTGACTGGATTTATCCATCTGAAAATCTTTGATGTAGCTAATAGCTTAAAATGTTTACCTTAATCATCCTTTCCTGTGTTTGTAAGTTTTTTAAAACTATTCATTAAAATAAACATTTGCTATCAAGTATACTAAAATCCATGAGTTAACAGTGATTTTTTTTAAACCCTGTTTCTGGTGTCACTTCCAAGATGGCCAAATAGGAACAGCTCCAGTCTGCAGCTCCCAGCATGAGCAACGCAGAAGAAGGGTGATTTCTGCATTTCCAACTGAGGTACCAGGTTCATCTCACTGGGGCTTGTTGGACAGTGGGTGCAGTCCACGGAGTGTGAGCTGAAGCAGGGTGGGGCATTGCCTCACCTAGGAAGCACAAGGGGTCAGGGAATTTCCTTTCCTACCCAAGGGAAGTCGTGACAGACGGTACTTGGAAAATCGGGATACTCCCACCCTAATACTGCACTTTTCTAATGGTCTTAGCAAACGGCACACCAGGAGATTATATCCCACGCCTAGCTCGGAGGGTCCCATGAACATGCAGCCTCGCTCACTGCTAGCACAGCAGTCTGACTGCAAGGCAGCAGTGAGGCTGGGGGAGGCTCAGCGACTGCCATTGTTGAGGCTTGAGTAGGTAAACAAAGCAGCCAGGAAGCTCGAACTGGTGGAACCCACCGCAGCTCAAGGAGGCCTGCATGCTTCTGTAGACTCCACCTCTGGAGGCAGGGCATAGCTGAACAAAAGGCAACAGAAACTTCTGCAGACTTAAACGTCCCTGCCTGACAGCTTTGAAGAGAGCAGTGGTTCTCCCAGCACGAAGTTTGAGATCTGAGAACGGACAGACTGCCTCCTCAAGTGGGTCCCTGACCCCCAAGTAGCCTAACTGGGAGACACCTCCCATTATGTGCCAACTGACACCTCATATAGCCAGGTGCCCCTCTGAGACAAAGCTTCCAGTGGAATGATCAGGCAGCAACATTTGCCATTCTGCAATATTTGCTGCTCTGCAGCCCCCGCTGGTGATACCCAGGTAAACAGGGTGTGGAGTGGACCTCCAGAAAACTCCAACAGACCTGCAGCTGAAGGTCCTGACTGTTAGAAGGAAAACTAACAAACACAAAGGACATTCACACCAAAACCCCATCTGTACGTCACCATCATCAAAGACCAAAGGTAGATAAAACCACAAACATGGGGAGAAAACAGAGCAGAAAAGCTGAAAATTCTAAAAATCAGAGCACCTCTTCTCCTCAAAAGGAGTGCAGCTCCTCACCAGCAATGGAACAAAGCTAGACGGAGAATGACTTTGACGAGTTGAGAGAAGTTTTCAGACGATCGGTAGTAACAAACTTCTCCGAGCTAAAGGAGGATGTTCGAACCCATCACGAAGAAGCTAAAAACCTTGAAAAAAGATCAGATGAATGGCTAACTAGAATAAACAGCATAGAGAAGACCTTAAATGACCTGATGGAGCTGAAAACCATGGCACAAGATCTACGTGATGCATGCACAAGCTTCAGTAGCCAATTTGATCAAGTGGAAGAAAGGGTATCAGTGATTGAAGATCAAATGAATGAAATGAAGCAAGAAGAGAAGTTGACAGGAAAAAGAGGAAAAAGAAATGAACAAAGCCTCCAAGAAATATGGAACTATGTGAAAAGACCAAATCTACATCTGATTGGTGTACCTGAAAGTGACGGGGAGAATGGAACCAAGTTGGAAAACACTCTTCAGGATATTATCCAGGAGAACTTCCCCCAATCTAGCAAGGCAGGCCAACATTCACAATCAGGAAATACAGAGAATGCCACAGAGATACTCCTCGAGAAGAGATACTCCTCGAGAAGAGATACTCCTCGAGAAGAGACACTCCTCGAGAAGAGCAACTCCAAAACACGTAACTGTCAGATTCACCAAAGTTGAAATTAAGGAAAAAATGTTAAGGGCAGCCAGAGAGAAAGGTCGGGTTACCCACATAGGGAAGCCCATCAGACTAACAGCGGATCTCTCAGCAGAAATTCTACAAGCCAGAAGAGGGTGGGGACCAATATTCAACATTCTTAAAGAAAAGAATTTTCAACCCAGAATTTCATATCCAGCCAAACTAATCTTCATAAGTGATGGAAAAATAAAATCCTTTACAGACAAGCAAATGCTGAGAGATTCTGTCACCACCAGGCCTGTCTTACAAGAGCTCCTGAAGGAAGCACTGAACACGGAAAGGAAAAACCAATACCAGCCACTGCAAAAACATGCCAAATTTTAAAGACCATCATTGCTAGGAAGAAACTGTATCAACTAATGAGCAAAATAACCAGTTAACATCATAATGACAGGATCAGATTCACACATAACAATATTAACCTTAAATGTAAATGGGCTAAATGCTTCAATTAAAAGACACAGACTGGCAAATTGGATAAAGAGTCAACACCCATCAGTGTGCTGTATTCAGGAGACCCATCTCACATGCAGACACAACATAGGCTCAAAATAAAAGGATGGAGGAAAATCTACCAAGCGAATGGAAAACAAAAAAAAAAGCAGGGGTTGCAAACCTAGTCTCTGATAAAACAGACTTTAAACCAACAAAGATCAAAAGAGACAAAGCCATTACATAATGGTAAAGGGATCAATTCAACAAGAGGAGCTAACTATCCTAAATATATATGCACCCAATACAGGAGCACCCAGAATCATAAAGCAAGTCCTTAGAGACCTACAAAGAGACTTAGACTTCCACACGATAATAATGGGAGACTTTAACACCCCACTGTCAACATTAGACAGATCAACGAGACAGAAAGTTAACAAGGATATTCAGGACTTGAACTCAGTTCTGCACCAAGTGGACCTAACAGACATCTACAGAAATCTCCACCCCAAATCAACAGAATATACATTCTTTTCAGCACCACATCGCACTTATTCCAAAATTGACCACATAGTTGGAAGTAAAGCACTCCTCAGCAAATGTAAAAGAACAGAAATTATAACAAACTGTCTCTCAGACCACAGTGCAATCAAACTAGAACTCAGGATTAAGAAACTCACTCGAAATCACTCAACTACTTGGAAACTTAACAACCTGCTCCTGAAGCACTACTGGGTACATAACGAAATGAAGACAGAAATAAAGATGTTCTTTGAAACCAATGAGAACAAAGGCACAACATACCAGAATCTCTGGGACACATTTAAAGCAGTGTGTAGAGGGAAACTTATAGCACTAAATGCTCACAAGAGAAAGCAGGAAAGATCTAAAATTGACACCCTAACCTCACAATTAAAAGAACTAGAGAAGCAAGAGTAAACACATTCAAAAGCTAGCAGAAGGCAAGAAATAACTAAGATCAGAGCAGAACTGAAGGAGACAGAGACACAAAAAACCCTCCAAAAAAAAATCAATGAATCCAGGAGCTGGTTTTTTGAAAAGCTCAACAAAATTGATAGACTGCTAGCAAGACTAATAAAGAAGACAAGAGAGAAGAATCAAATAGACGCAATAAAAAATGATAAAGCAGATGTCACCACCGACCCCACAGAAATACAAACTACCATCAAAGAATACTATAAACACCTCTATGCAAATAAACTAGAAAACCTAGAAGGAATGGATAAATTCCTGGACACATACACCCTTCCAAGACTAAACCAGGAAGAAGTTGAATCCCTGAATAGACTAATAATAGGCTCTGAAATTGAAGCAATAATAGCCTACCAACCAAAAAAACACCAGGACCAGACACATTCACAGCCAAATTCTACCAGAGGTACAGAGAGGAGCTGGGTACCATTCCTTCTGAAACTATTCTAATCAATAGAAAACGAGGGAATCCTCGCTAACATATTTTATGAGGCCAGCATCATCCTGATCCCAACCCTGGCAGAGACACAATAAAAAAGGAGCATTTTAGACCAATACCCCTGATGAACATCGATGCAAAAATCTTCAGTAAAATACTGGCAAACCGAATCCAGCAGCACAACAAAAAGCTTATCCACCACAATCAAGTGGGCTTCATCCCTGGAATGCAAGGCTGGTTCAACTCACGCAAATCAATAAATGTAATCCATCACATAAGCAGAACCACAGACAAAAACCACGTGATTATCTCAATAGATGCAGAAAAGGACTTTGACAAAATTCAACAGCCCTTCATGCTAAAAACTCTCAATAATAGGTATTGATAGGATGTATCTCAAAATAGTAAGAGCTATTTATGACAAACCCACAGCCAAAATCATACTGAATGGGCAAAAACTAGAAGCATTCCATTTGAAAACTGGCACAAGACAGGGATGCCCTCTCTCACCACTCCTATTCAACATAGTGTTGGAAGTTCTGGCCAGGGCAATCAGGCAGGAGAAAGAAATAAAGGGTATTCAATTAGGAAAAGAGGAAGTCAAATAGTCCCTGTTTGCAGATGACATGATTGTATATTTAGAAAACCCCATCGTCTCAGCTCAAAATCTCCTTAAGCTGATAAGCAACTTCAGCAAAGTCTCACGATACAAAATCAATGTGCAAAAATCACAATCATTCCGGGCCGGGCGCGGTGGCTCAAGCCTGTAATCCCAGCACTTTGGGAGGCCGAGACGGGCGGATCATGAGGTTAGGAGATCGAAACCATCCTGGCTAACACGGTGAAACCCCGTCTCTACTAAAAAATACAAAAAATTAGCCGGGCGAGGTGGCGGGCGCCTGTAGTCCTAGCTACTCGGGAGGCTGAGGCAGGAGAATGGCGTGAACCAGGGAGGCGGAGCTTACAGTGAGCTGAGATCCGGTCACTGCACTCCAGCCTGGGCTACAGAGAGAGACTCTGCCTCAAAAAAAAAAAAAAAAAAAAAAAAAAAAAAAAAAAAAAAAATCACAATCATTCCTATATACCAATAATAGACAAACAGAGAGTCAAATCATCAGTGAACTCCCATTCACAATTGCTTCAAAGAGAATAAAATACCTTGGAATCCAACTTACAAGGGATGTGAAGGACCTCTTCGAGGAGAACTACAAACCACTGCTCAATGAAATAAAAGAGGACACAAACAAATGGAAGAACATTCCATGATCATGGATAAGAAGAATCAATATCGTGAACATGGCCATACTGCCCAAGGTAATTTGTAGATTTGATGCTATCCCCATTAAGCTACCAATGACTTTTTTCACAGAATTGGAAAAAACTACTTTAAAGTTCATATGGTTTAAAATTCAAAAAAGAGCCTGCATTGCCAAGACAATCCTAAGCCAAAAGAACAAAGCTGGAGGCATCACGCTACCTGACCTCAAACTATACTACAAGGCTACAGTAACCAAAACAGCATGGTACTGGTACCAAAACAGAGATATAGAACAATGAACAGAACAGAGCCCTCAGAAATAATACCACACATCTACAACCATCTGAACTTTGACAAACCTGACAAAAAATGGGGAAAGGATTCCCTATTTAATAAATGGTGCTGGGAAAACTGGCTAGCCATATGTAGAAAGCTGAAACTGGATCCCTTCCTTACACCTTATACAAAAATTAATTCAAGATGGATTAGAGACTTAAATGTTAGACCTAAAACCATAAAAACCCTAGAAGAAAACCTAGACAATACCATTCAGGACATAGGCATGGGCAAGGACTTCATGACTAAAACACCAAAAGCAATGGCAATAAAAGCCAAAACTGACATAAGGGATCTAATTAAACTAAAGAGCTTCTGCATAGCAAAAGAAACAACTACCAGAGTGAACAGGCAATCTACAGAACAGGAGAAAAGTTTTACAATCTACCCAACTGACAAAGAGCTAATATCCAGAATCTACAAAGAACTTAAACAAATTTACAAGAAAAAATCAACCCCATCAAAAAGTGGGTGAAGCATATGAAGAGACGACACTTCTCAAAAGAAGACATTTATGCAGCCAACAGACACATGAAAAAATGCTCATCATCACTGGCCATCAGAGAAATGCAAATCAAAACCACAACGATATACCATCTCACACCAGTTAGAATGGCGATCATTAAAAAGTCAGGAAACAACAGGTGCTGGAGAGGATGTGGAGAAATAGGAACGCTTTTACACTGTTGGTGGGACTGTAAAGTAGTTCAACCATTGTAGAAGACAGTGTGGCGATTCCTCAAGGATCCAGAACTAGAAATTTGACCCAGCCATCCCATTACTGGATATATAGCCAAAGGATTATAAATCATGCTGCTATAAAGACACATGCACATGTATGTTTACTGCAGCACTATTCACAATAGCAAAGACTTGGAACCAACCCAAATGTCCATCAATGATAGACTGGATTAAGAAAATGTGGCACATATACACCATGGAATACTATGCAGCTATAAAATAAGGATGAGTTCATGTCCTTTGTAGGGACATGGATGAAGCTGGAAGCCATCATTCTCAGCAAACTATCACAAGGACAAAAAACCAAACACTGCATGTTCTCACTCATAGGTGGGAATTGAACAATGAGAACACTTGGACACAGGGTGGGGAACATCACACACCAGGAACTGTCATGGGGTGGGGGGAGCGGGGAGAGATAGCATTAGGGAATATACCTAACGTAAATGACGAGTTAATGGGTGCAGCACACCAACATGGCACATGTATACAAATGTAACAAACCTGCACATTGTGCACCTGCACCCTATAAGTTAAAGTATAATGGAAAAACAAAACAAACCAACTCCATTTCTACAAATAGGAAACATACAGGCAGTTATTCACTAGGGAGATCTGTAACAGTGAAACACTGGTAACAGTCTAAACGAACGGCTGCCTGCAGAGGGTCAGGCCACACAAACCAGCACCACGGTAACAAACTAATTATAGGCTGGGTGTGGTGGCTCACGTCTTTAATTCCAGCACTTTGGGAGCCTGAGGCGGGCGGATCACCTGAGGTCGGGAGTTCAAGACCAGCCTGACCAACATGGAGAAACCCCGTCTCTACTAAAAATACAAAATTAGCCGGGGTGGTGGCACATGCCTGTAATCCCAGCTTCTCAGGAGGCTGAGATAGGAGAATCACTTGAACCCGGGAGGTGGAGGTTCTGGTGAGCTGAGATCGCGCCATTGCACTCCAGCCTGGGCAAAAAGAGTGAAACTCTATCTCAAAAAAAAAAAAAAAAAAAAAAAAGAAAAGAAAACTAACCGTGGCAAGCCCCATGGGCAGCTGCGTAACACAGGGCACGGGTGGTATGCTGCCTGTCACAGGCCCCACCCGGGGGGCCCCTGGCTGCGGGCAGAGCCATAGGGTGTGGACACCTGAGGCGTGTCCAAAAAGGACCAGAGAGAAGGCGGAGAAGGCTCCAGTGAGAGGCAGAAATAGGGAGAGAGATGGTGTTTCCAGAGCAGGGGATGCCACAGTGGGTCAGGAGAGCAGTGTGGTGGGAGAGCACCCTGGCTGTGAGTTGCCTGAGCTAGAAGAGCTGGCAGGAAGGCGGAAAGGGATTTGGGGGCTAGAGAAGTGCGAAGCGAGGGGGGATGTAGGTGTGAGCACTCTGCTCCAGGGCCCCGAAGACCAGCAACTGCAGAGAAGGGTAAGGGAACAGGGCAGCTGCAAGTGTGAACCAAAACGCAGCCCCTCCACTAAATGGAGGAGGTGCTGAGGTCAGGAAAGCTTGATGTGTCATGGGTCTGGTTCACCACCTCCCATGGCCTGTCACACTCCAGGAAAATCTCTTCCCAGAAAACCACCTGTGGGCACACATGCCAGGCTGCACCTGTTCCCATGCACATCCTCTGCTGCCCTAAGCAGGCACCAGGGAAACGTGAGCCCCAACCCCCACGAAGCGGCAGGCACCTTACCTAGCGATGGCAGAGCACTCGATGTGCCAGCCCGGCCTCCCGGGTCCCCAGGGAGAGGCCCAGAACACCTCCTGGGGTTTGGCCGCCTTCCACAGGGCAAAGTCACTGGCATGACGCTTGTCAGAGTCCGCTGCAGATGACAAACAGTGCATCAGCGGAAGGAAGCTCAGTCACCCCACCATGGATAACGTTCCCCCTACCTCACCTCCAGACAGTTACCACGACACAATTCTTTGCGGATAACGTTCACTGCGCCTCCGAACCAGTTACCCCCACCAGACACAATCACCTGCAGATGGCGTTCTCTCCTCAGACAGTTACCTGCGACTCCAGTGCCATGGATGGCGACCACTACTCCACTCGGTGATTTGCAGACACCTCACACCCCACCATAAAGTGCGGACGATTTTCCAGGAAGCTGATCTTACTTTGAAGCCAGACCAGTTACCCCCACCACGAAACCCAGTCACACCCACCACGGAAACTCAATCATCCACTACCAGGCGCTGGTCAGTCTGCCCCACCATGAAACTGATCACCCCAGAGGCCAGGCAGGTCGTACACCGGAAACCCAGACAAAGTCACCCCACACGACCTGGACGGTCTCGCCTTTGGACACCCAGAGTCGCTACCATGAAACTCAGACAGTCACCCCCACCACCGGACACCCAGACAAATTCTTACCACCAGGCTCCCAGTCACCCCCACCATTGACCAGTCACTTGCAGGCCAGGTCAGGTCACCCCACCACGAAACCTACAGTCCACCCCCAACAGAGCACAGTCACCCCACCCAAAGAGCCCAGTCACCCCACCACGGAAATAAGCAATTCACTCCCCAGACCCAGATAGTCACCACACGTTCCCCCTACCTCACCTCCAGACAGTTACCCCACCACGGAAACCTACTCACCCCACCATGGGAGTCTAGACAGTTACCCCACCACAGAAACCCAGTCACCCCCAGCACAGAAACCCAGACAGTCACCCCCACCACGGAAACCCAGTCACCCCACCACGGAAACTCAATCATCCCACTACCGAAACGCAGTCAGTCACCCCACCATGGAAACCCACAGTCACCCCCACCACAGAAACCCAGACAGTCATCCCACCACGGAAACCCAGACAGTCACCCCCACCACAGACACCCAGACAGTCACCCCACCACGGACACCCAGAGTCACCCCCACCATGGAAACTCAGACAGTCACCCCCACCACGGACACCCAGACAGTCACCCCCACCACAGAAACCCACAGTCACCCCCACCATGGAAACCCACAGTCACCCCCACCACGGAAACCCAGTCAGTCACCCCCACCACGGAATGACCAGTCACTTGCAGGCCAGGTCAGGTCACCCCACCACGAAACCTACAGTCCACCCCCAACAGAGCACAGTCACCCCACCCAAAGAGCCCAGTCACCCCACCACGGAAATAAGCAATTCACTCCCCAGACCCAGATAGTCACCACACCCACAGAAACCCAGACCACCACAAGAGCCAGTCCCCACAGAGCTGGGCAGGTGCCCCACCACAGAGGCAGACAGTCCGCCACCACAGAGCCCAAAGTCACCCCTACAGAAACCCAAACAGTCACCCCCACCACAGAAACCCAGGCAGTCACTTCCACCACAGGCCCAGTCATCACACCAAGAGCCAGTTACTGACAAGGGCCCAGGTTCTGTGACTCAAGTACCACCAGAAGCCCAATCACCCCCACCACAGAAACCCAGTCACCCCACCATGGAAACTCAGTCACCCAGTCACCCCACCACAGAAACCCAGATGGTCACCCTGCCACAGAAACCCAGACAGTTACCCCACAGACCTCAGACTGTCACCCTACCATGGAAGCCCAGACTGTCACCCCATCAGAAGCCGGGGCTGTCACCACCACCTCCACCCCCTCCCCAGAGGCTGGATAGTCACCCCACTGCAGAGCTCAGCCAGTTCACCTCCTACAGGGAAATTCAGCCAGCCACCTGACGGAAGCCCTGCAGCTGCAGTGGGCAGCGCTGAGTCGTTTCCTCAGAGGAGACCACTGCACTTCTTGCTCACTCCTGTTTCACCCCGTGAGGAACAGGAGCACAAGCAACGCTTTCATCTCAGATTTTTTGCGCACAGGGAGAGGTGGGCGGCCAGGGACCCCCTGAACGCTCATTTCTCAGAGATGTACTGTGGACTGGGTGAGTTTTCCCATTTTCCATATTCTATCTTGACGAGAAATGCTCTGTTTATCAGTAACTGAGTTGCAGGGCTGTTTTTTCCAAAAGATACTAATCACACAAAGTACAAAGTGTGTGAAGATCATGTCAAATTGGACCTGAGACTCTGAGCGACACAAATGCCTGTCACCGTGTCGGCGGCGCAGGTCTTACATGCTCCCACCAAAGCCAGTCCATCTGCCCAGGACAGGCCTTTACATGTAACAATCTGATATCACCGCCTGCAGGCTGACGGTGATATCCACCTTTGATGAATTTAGAGGTTGAACGTTTTGGTGCGAACGGATGCTTTTCACCAAATCCGGACTGGACAGGCCTATGTTTTCATAGCTGATCATTTTCAATGAGACATATGTTGTTGCCAGGTGTCGACATTGATCAATTCCTGCACGATTGCTGGAAAAAATGAGCATCAGTAACACCCCTGTGGAAATACTTAAGGACAGAAAATGTGTTAAAGGTTGTGCCCGGCCAAGCTGACTTTGAGGTGGAAGGCAGCACACTGTCATCCACAGGCACAAATTCAGGGACTACTGTTTCACTGAAAAGAGCTCTTCCTTCCAGAAAGTGCTGGGAATGAGCTTCCAAAAACAACAGGGAGAGCAGCGGTTCCTGGAGATGGCTTGGGAATGGGGAAGTGGCGAGGCACAGGAGAGCATGGCGCAGCAGGCAGAGGCTGAGCCTTTCAGTTCTGAACACGTGGGGTGGGGAGAAGGCCACGTGCCGTGACTTATAGTAGTGGTCAAGCCCTACAGGCAGAACTGGTCCTGATGGACTAAAGCAGGTGGATGCCCACTGGGTATCTGTCCACACCTGGTGTCCTGAAGATAGGATTTGCCACCACAGGAAAAAGAGGGGGCTTACATGTGAACAGACAGAGGTTAGTGAGGCCGCGGCCTGGAATGTGGTGTCAGTCGACCTCGGGCGCCATGTCACCTCAGTCTGGGAGAGGCCAGAGGAAACAAACAGGCCAGCGAAAAGCATGAAACATCATGGGTTGCGCTGTGTTCTCAAACACCGCTTCCCATCAAAGAAAAAGCAGAAGACCGGGCGCGTTAGCTCCAGCTCAGAGCTCAGGACTTTACTGAGGCGAAGTGGTGGATCACCTGAGGTCAGGAGTTCGAGACCAGCCTGACCAATACTGACAAGGCAACAATCTCTAAGTGCAAAAATTAACCAGGCTGGTGGGAGCCTGCATGGTCCAGCTACTCTGGAGGCTGGGCGAGAAGATGGCTTAGGCCGGAGGCAGGACACAGTGAGCCGAGATCACGCCATTGGACTCCAGCCTGAACAACAGTGACACTCTGTCTCAAAAAAAAAAAAAAGGAAAGGAAGAGAAGGGAAGGGAAAGGAGGAAAGAAAGGAAGGGGAAGGAAAGGGGAAAGGAAGAGAAAGGAAAGGAAGGGAAAGGAAAGGAAAGGAAAGGAAAGGAAAGGAAAGGAAAGAGAAAAAGAAGAGAAAAAGAAGGAAAGGAAGAAAGGAAGAAGAAGAAAAAAGTAAAGAGGCTCCCAGGAAAAACAGCTTATTTCAAGATAAGACCAGGAATACTCTACTATCTTATGGACATTTACAGCTATCTTCCCAACAGACAGGTGTAGGACGTTTGCTCCATCAGCAGAGAGACAAACTGGGGCTCAATAAAGTGGCAGCAACAACAGCTAGATTAAACGGCACGTGCAGTGAAACCACGAGCTCTCAACAATGAAACAGGAACTGGTCACCGCCAGAGGAAGTCATGAGGCCAGCTGTACTGCAGAAAACTGGTCAAGTGGAAATTCCTGCCTCTTACACACTGACCTATACCACCGAGAGTAACCAGACGACAGTCTGCCTATATAAAAGTATTCAGCAAATGGGCCAGGCGCGGTGGCTCACACCTATAACCCCAGTACTTTGGGAGGCCGAGGGGAGTGATCACCTGAGGTCAGGAGTTCAAGACCACCCTGGCCAACATGGCGAAACCCCATCTCTACTAAAAGTGACTACAAACATTAGCTGGGTGTGATGGCATGCCCCTATAATCCCAACACTTTGGAGGCTGAGGCAAGGAGAATTGCTTGAACCTGGGAGGTGGAGGTTGCAGTGAACCGAGATCATTGCTGCACTCCTTCTGACAGCAGGCGAATTCATCTCTCAAAACAAACCAAAAGGTATTCCAGCAAATGGCAGAAATGGTGAATGGGAGTTGCCCTGTGCACCTCCTTTTGCAGTGAAGAGATCTAAGCCTAAATGACCAGAGCTGCTCACACACAGAAGTACAGCCCTTAGTGTCTCTGGTGAGAATATTGCCATCTGAGTAGCCTTTCATTTGAGACAGTTAAGCCCTCCTGGGTTCAATATGATTTTAAGCTTTGGGACAGATATTACAGACATAAAACTCAGAGCAGTAGAATCCCTCAGGGCCGTGAACACATGGTATTTATCCATAGCTTGAGCAGCAGGAAAAGCCAGGAAGAGGGTGTGGGTTCATTCAAGAAAGACTAGTAAATGGCTAAACTAAGTGTGGTGTTTGAGACAAATGTTCAAACAAGTCCTTCCCACTCAGAAAGATGAGAGGTGGCCGCTGTCAGAGTTATGGCAGTAGTTGCCTCCAAAGCAGAACCAGGAGGCTGGTGACCAGGAAAAAGCACAGCACCAGGAGGTTGGTGCCATCCCACCCACCAATGGGCCACCTCCTTCACTAGAGTGGTAGCCATGAGTCTCTCCACTGGAACACAAATTCACTGGCTGGCATTTTTTGCTTTGTGGCGGGCAGTGAGGTCTTTCACTGCAGCTGCAGACAGGTGCAGACTCCCAAACCTCAGAGTGATCTCCACCTCCAGCTCTAAGTGCTGGGATTACAGGTGTGAAACCCTGCACTCCTCTTAGTTGGACATTTTTAATAGTGTTTTATTATTAT